GTAGTTATAATAGTCGTATATTGATTAAACTATCCTATAGGAGTTGGATAAAAACATATATGTATGGATTTTGTTTATCCAGTCATTTCTAATCAGAACATAGTTTGGAAAAAATGCGCGTCAGTCCGAGTTATTAAAAGAGATCAATACAACAAAATGAGTTTAACAAGATGAGTACTGTAGGACTAAAAAAATCGTGGTATCGATGAAATCAAAACATTAGAAAAACAGCCCAAAAAGGAAACATATTACGGTATATCGCAACTCCAGCATTTTGGACTGAGGTAGGCAGTGGCTAGGTATGCATAACATATGTTTTATGTAACTCACTCAATACAGATTTATAACCTGGTTATCCCACGTCTGATGTCAGAATAGACTACTTAGTTGTTCCTATACTTCCTATGCTTCGAAGACACCTGTGATTAAATACATTCAGTCTGTGCATGTCATCTGCTTTCATTGACCATGGTTCATAACCACAGATTTACATAGCAGTCTGCTACACCATCAGATGTGTATCCTTCTTTCAGGATAAGAGAGTTGGTAAACGTGCTCAGCTGCTTCACTTCTTGTCGTCATTTTAGGCGTTGATGTAGACCAGTCCTAAAGTAGTCTTACACACTTCACTTATAGACAAATCCCAAACATTCTCTTTTACGTTACTCAAGGGTTTCAGAAAACTATTTAATCAACATCTTCGTCAAACAGGATTAAGTTATCTGCGTACCATGACGAGATTCATTAGTTTTTCAATGATAGTTGTTCATAATTGATCGCTAACACCCTAATAACTCAAGGCACCAAAATGACATTTTCTTTTTTCTCTGTTACTGTCTGGTCATTGTAAGGCGTTTTTCATCAGTTATACTACAATTACAATCTCGATTTATGAAACGGAAGGTTATTTGTAGCAGTAGCTACTTACTTACTCCTAATACCCCTCGTGGATGAGCATAGACCGACCATCAGCATTCAATATCCAACCCTGACTTGGGTAACCCTTTCCACTTGCTATTGGTCCTTTTCATGTCTGCGTCTCATTCTCAACATAGTGTGTTCTTCGTCCTTCATCTTTTCCGTTTACCTTCAGAATTCCAAGTTAGCGCTTGACTGGTGATACAGTTTGATTATTTCCTCAATGTATGTCCTATCCACTTCCAACGTCTTTTCCTAATTTTCTCTTCATTTGTAAGCTGGTTTACTGATGGTATCCAGTCAACAGACATGGAGTATCTTGTGTGGACAATTGTTTAGAAATATTTGTACTCTTTTGATGATGGTTGTGGTAGTTCTCTAAGTTTCAGCTCCGTACAGTAGGACTGTTTCGACGTTCGTACTGAAGATTCTGACTTTGATATTAGTTGACAGTTGTTTTGAGTTCCGTATGTTCTTCAACTGTAGGAATTCTGTCCTTACTTTACCAATTCTCACCTTTACATCTGCATCTGATCCTCCACGTTAATCAATGATGCTGACCAGGTACGTGAATTTTTCTATGTTGCAGAGTCTCCATCAATTGTGATTGGATTGGTGTCCTCCGTGTTGTATTTGAGGATCTTGCTTTTACTTTTGTGTATGATGATTCCTACTGATACAGAGGCTTTTGATTCACTGGTTGTCTGCATTTGTTCGCGTGCACGAGAAAGAATGGCCAGGTCATCTGTAAAGTTCAAATCTAATTGAATCCGAGCCGTCCATTGTATTCCATGCTTTCCCTTCGATGTCGAGGTCTTCATAATTCAATCGATCGCCAGAAGAAAGAAAAAGGGGAGAGTAATCAGCCTTGTCTGACTCCGGTCCTCACTTGGAATGCATCTGTTAGCTGTCCTCCATGCACGACTTTGCACTGTAGTCTGTTGTATGAATTTCGGATGATATTCATTATCTTCTCACGTACACCATAGTGTCGAAGAAGTTTCCATAAAGTCATCTTATCCACACTGTCAAACGCTTCCTCATATTCAATGGAGTTGATGTATAATGACGAGTTCCATTCAATTGATTGTTCAACGATGATCCGTAATGTCGCAATTTGTTCTGTGTACGACCGATCCTTACGAAATCCAGCCTGTTGATCTCGAAGTCGGGCGTCTACTGAATCTTTCACCCGTTTCAGCAACACTCTGTTGAGAAATTTTCCTGGTAGTGATGGTATTGTGATGCCTTTGTAATTCTTAAATTTGCTCAGATCCTCTCTCTTTGATATCTTGCTGAGGTGTCCTTTCCAGTCTATCGGTAATTGTTCTTCCTCTCAAACCTTCCTGAATAGAACGTGGAGCATCATTGCAGTTAGTTCTCTCTGACTTTAGTGCTTCGGCTGGTATATTGTCGGGTCCTGCTGCTTTCCCACTTTTGATTTATTTGATGGTCATCCTGATTTCTTCCATCCTTGGTGGAATAACATCTATAGGAAGATCTGTATGTGCTGCTTTGATGTCGGATGAATTCATTGGAACTGGTCTACTTAAGAGTTCCTCAAGGTGTTCCACTCATCCGATCCTCTGTTCTTGAATCTCTGACCGGCTTGCCTTCTTTGTCCTTGGACGGTCTCTCTGGTTTATAATATTTTCCTGTCAGTTTCTTCATTTTGCCGTATAGTTTTCTGATATTTCTTTCTGTTACAGCTTAGGAAGGCTGTATTGGACCTTTGTACTACTGTTTCTCCGGTCGTCAAATGTTTCTTTAGCTTCAGTTTCCTCTTGGACACAACCAGGTGGTGATCTGAAGCTATTTCAGCTTCTCTCCTGGTTCTCACGTCTTCTATTGACCTTGTGAATTTTTTTACTGATGCAAATATGATCTATCTGGTTCTCTGTGGAGTTGTCCGGTGAGACTCGTGTAGCTTTGTGTATGCATTTGTGCCACCTATAGCCAATTTGTTGAATGCACATAAATTTGCAAATTTCTCGCCATTTTCGTTCCTTTCTCCTAGTCCATTTTGTCCCGTGATATCTTCATATCGGGTGTTGTCTATTCCAACTTTTGCGTTGAGCTTTCCCATCAGTATGGTGAAATCCTTTCTTGGGCACTTCGGTTTGATTGATTGCAGCGTCGAGTAGAACTGATTTTTATTGTCGTCATTGCTATCATTGATGTGTGCATAACATCGGATAATATTCATTAAAATCCCCTCCTTCTTTGTTTTGAATGATGCTCTGATGATTCTGGATCCATGAGATTTCCATCCTACAAGTTCATTTCGCGCTTCTTTGGACAAAATCAGAGCAACTCGCCGCCTGTGTGAACCAGTTTCTTTTTTTTGACCGGAGTACAGCAGTATCTTTCTCGTATCTAACCTTTGCTGTCCAGCTTGGGTTCAATGGGTTTAACATATTCCGAGGGTCACCGAGTTGTATCTCCTGGTTTCCGTAGCTATTTGACTAATCTTCCTGGTCTCCTATATTCTCCAAACGTCCCATGTACCTGTATTAAATGTTCTTCTGGTTGTTAGAAGGAGCATCGGCCTCGTGACTCCCGAAGAATCTCGACTTTCATCATGGCATCGTAATTCTTCAAATCGGAGGACAGTTTAAATGGTTGAATTTATTTAATCTTGTGGTCGTTTTTTTTAGCAAGGTTGTTTTCTATAGAATGGGGTTGCCCACTTCATGTCTAAACCTCGTCCTTTATCTGGGCTTGGGACCGGCAGTGACTATAGGAGAGCTACAGATGGAGTTTGTAGCAATAATTAACGGAAGTTAGTTTTGACATACAGTTTCTCATTTAAGTTGCAAGTTTTAAGCGGAGAAAAATGCTTCTCTTCTTTTCGTACCAACTACTGCCGGGCAGTCTAAGAGACAGGTGTTGGTAATGTGTTAAGCTGTAAATCAATAAAGCTATGACTTGGAAATGAAGGGATTTGGCTTTCAGTAAGTAGGTTTCATGTTCACACTCTGTTCCATCTCATTTTGTTTGAGCAGCCGTGTACAATCCCTAGCCTCACTTAAAACGCAGCTCAAAAACAAAGGACAAAATGTACCTAGTCAATGAGTTGCCTTTATTTCCAACTAAGTTGTTGGTTGAAATAGACTTCAACTACTCCAATCTGATTACATAACTTTTATTTATTGTTATCATCCAATAACTTGGTTTGCATTGTAACGAACTGACCTACATCTAATTAGTAGATTTCATTCTTTTTGTCTTCTAATTATCACCATTATCTTTTACTTTTTACGGAAAAACTAGACAAATTACGACTCTGACATATATATATATATAATAACACACCACTTTCTTACACTTGTGTACTAAGCAAAATACGTTATTTAAAATACGCATAAGTAATAAGTAAAATTCAGTTGTTGTTGTAGTCCAGGAGTGATCAAACTTAAGCATAACTAAAATTCAGTTGACATATAACCAAAACTGTCCACTCATCTTGATACAGATGAATGTGCCGTCTACTTTTGGTTTAACTTAATACGACTTAACTAATAACATTTTCTATTTGTAACTAATTTTTCCATGCTTTAAGTTTTGTCTATTGTTGGTATTATTATTTCACTCCCTTCGGTTTTTATCTTGTCAATTTTCTATTTGTGTGTTGATGTAGGCTATGCCAAACAAGACTGGGACCTTTTTGTACCAAGTTCCATGTTCTTTATGACTAACTTAGTAGAAGATAATATCAAACAATAAAATACACGATCCATTTAAATTTCTTGTATTGTGAAAATATTGTCGTTGTTGCTTTATTTAAAATTATGTTCGGTTTTAACTTTATATACCTTTGGGCATGTAGTGAATATAAATAAGATTTAGTCATGAAGAGAAGTTTCGACTGTTGCCAATTTTAAAGGAACTAAATTAAGTTACGCCATACATCTAGTTTATACTCCCCATGTCTTTTACATATCTTACAGCAAACGTTTTATATCTAAAACTAGATACAAATTTAGGTCAACGAAAATAAGTCTTCATAATTTTATCATAGTTTGCAAACGAATTATCCTGGCCGCATAAAGTTTATTTCAATTTTCCCTATTTTATTTCAGACTAACTTAGAACCTAACCCCAGTTTATCTCCCCAAATACCTCCAACCAATGCAGCTAGCTTACCTCCCACATCCAGAATGGTTCGACCTCGTTCTAGTATTGGTCCCAGTGATCATACCAGTAAAGAAAGACCTGTTAGTTCAGGACCTGATATGTTTGGCCTCTTCAAAAGGGGCTCAGTCAAGGTAAACGTTTTACCTTTTTCTTCTAAATTAACTGGTTCACTTCAATATAAGTTAAATAGTTATTTGTATGATTTGAACATCTACCTCATTCTAGTTCATGTACATGTTAATCGGTAATTTTATAAATGTAATTAAATACGATATATCGTCAGATTGATATATATATGAAGTAAACCTTCAGTTCTAGTAAGAATTTGATATAAATGTGAATTTCGTTAGTTGCTACATTTCAAAACGACGATAATTATTATGATATTAAGTTTTTTACAATCTTTTTATACAATATTTTCATCGTATCAACAATAAAAACTAATTTATTGGTCGTTTGATTCTTGAAATCGATTGCTTGGCCGTTCACTGACCTTTACCTTTTGCTTTTAACGTATTGATATCCTACTAATTTGTGTTTGAGTTTAATGTCTACCACGTCTCCATATTTGATGTTGATAGATGTTCTGATTTTATGGAATTAATCTTACCATTAAATCAGGTATGGTTTACGATTGTATTTGAAATTAATGGGTTGGAAATTGTCATAAAATCAACAGGTTGAAAAATAACGTGACGATGCTATGATTAATAATCTAACTTTTTCCTGTAACAAACAATTCATGTCACCCACTTCAGTTCACTTAAGCCTGTTACCCATCCTGGGGCACAGGCTGCCAATCACAGGTCTCTAAGAGACTTTTATACAAAATGGAATACCTATGCGACCGTTGTATAAATTAGTGTAATTATCTTGGTTACATTGCATGTTAGTTACTTGGCTTACTTACGCCTGTTATTCCTAGTGGAGCGTAGGCCACCAACCAGAATACGCCAACCACTTAGTCATTCAATCGTCTACAACATAGGACCAGGCACATATGCAACGGTTTAAATTGTCATACCTCACTAACATGAAGAGTGTATACACCTACACCATTGTGGTCGATTCTGAACCATAGCACCCAGTCCCCACAACCACTAGTTACGATAGTCGCGGGGATTCCAACCAAGTAGTCTGGATCTACCAACATGTCTTAGACATGTTTGTGTGGCGCATATATATTGGCGCTCTCTTGTACCAATATTTATGTGTTCAAATAAAATAAAATAAAATAGATCAGGACTGATGCCATGTTTTGGTTTGACCACCCCTAACAGTCTTCCGTCCGTCTCCAACGCTAGTCAGTATTGCACTTCGTGGTAGCCGGTAGTTGGGCATGTGTATTACGCGGCAGTCTCTATTTGTATTGTTTTTTTCTTATTTATTTAAACCCATAAACATTGATAAAAGGAGATACCAGATGTACATGCACCACACTTTGCCATTCGATTTGTTTGAGGGCTGGTGTAATGCTCGAGCATCCAAACTGAAGCAGGTGGTTTTCTTTTGAGGTCACTCGCTGAGCCTTTGATATAGAGGTCTAATCTACATGGTGGTGGAGCAACGTTAAGAGATGAAGTCCCATAGTAGCCGCTAACCATCAAAAGGTTTATACGCCTTTTGTTTCCATAGGATCCTGGAGCCTATGTGTACCAATGGTTTGGAATCAGGGTTTCCCAACTCCCCTAGTTGAACTCTCCGTGTTCATCAACTCAGTCTAAGCTCCAGACATTCGCTTTTCGTTCTCTGAATTTCGTAAACAGCATCCCTACCACGAAAAGGCGATGAGCGGGACTTCCCTGACAGTTGCTGTATACGTATAGCATTTCAAGGAGCTCTGACTCCCCAATCTTGACCCTTTCAGGGCATTTGGGGGTCTTTATCTATATTTGTTACTATGTGTGGGATAGAATATAGTCCAAGTCATCCGTCTGCGTTCAAGATTTTCACAATAGTCGGGATTTTCCAGTGATATGGTTTTCGTAATGTAGTCAACCATGAAAAGAAAAGTGGTGAGTAAGCAGCCTTTCTTGCAGTGGTCTCCACTCAGAAAACATCTGCGGCAATGTATGACATTCATTGCAATCCATTCTTTCTTTATTTTGAAGAATGTCTTGATGATCTCGAATCCGTAGTTTTCGCATCCCATAAACTCTTATCATGCATCTTTGTAGGGCATCAATGGAACTCCTTGTGTACGTGGGGAATTTTTTCTTCGTGACCAGAATATAATAAAACCTGTTCCTAAGCTATTCTTTTTTGTCCAGCTTGTTTCCAATGAGTTCCGCTTATTCTGAGCGGAGCCAGGTTTTATCTTCTCATTTCTCCTGCTATTTGAATGATCCTTCCGATCGTTGTCTAGACATTCCGTGTGCTTACGTTTACTGTTCTGGTTGTTAAAAGGACCGTCGGCCTTATGGCTTCCGAAGAAACCCGGCCTTCATAATGAGGCGCCGTTACTCCTCTATATGAAAACCCTTCTACTCTTAGGAGAACGTTTGTTCAGCCCAACTCTTTTTTATCCGGGCCTGGGACCAGCAGTAACTCTATAAGGGCTCCAGGCAGAGTTAATTCTTAGCAACCGTATGTAATTGATTCAGTTTAGTTGTTTGTTACTGGAAATCAATGCTCACGAAAATAACCGGATGAATTCAATCAAGATCTTACAACATAGATTACTCTGACTCTTAAGAAAACATAAATTGATCTCCTATTGTTTTTTTTTCACCATTTTTTAGGACGTAAATCATCCAGAATGTCTGAGGGAGGAAGATAGTTCTATGGATGGATCATCCCGTGATACTACAACTGCGAATAATAAGAATAACAGTAATGGGAGTGGTAGTACTAGCAGTTGTAGTTCTAAATCGTTATCTCGAATGTCTTTCCCTGGTCATTCTAAATCTAATGGTACATCAAATAAGAAAGCTACCGGTAATCTCAAGGATCAGTCAACGGTACGTCCTATAAACGTACGATTTTTGTGTCTTTTCCTTAACCCTATTGATTGATTGATGTGACGATTTTATTGTCCATCATCGTGAATTCTCAACTTACAACCTCTGGTATGTTTCATTCATTTTTAACGTAGGAGATTTCGAAAAGGTTCATTTGTTATTTAATATCGTAAGAAACTGTCCCAACAATGTTTTTAAGTATCATCAGCCATAGTTTCTGAATGACACTAGAAACTCTATAAATTGTTTTTCTCAAACGTATGATTCATCAATTATTGTGAAGGAAGTTGTGAAAATAATGTACTTAATGTATGGTTTTCATATTTTACGAAGGCACTTTGTAATTTTACATTGAATAGTAAATTGGTTCTCGTTCACTACAATACCATTAATTTAGGGCTTATCACCGTTGAAGAAGACAATCAAGGACGTTTTGTGTCCGCTTAGTGCAGATGATAGTGACTGATTCGAAGAATGCGAAACTAATAAAATATACGAACAGACATGGATTCTTACAGTAAATCTATCATTTCAAGTCGGCACACGGAAATGTGATCAAATCAAAATCAGCAACCTAGTCCGTAGCTTGGATAAAGATAGAGACATGAAAAGTAATCAAATGTTTAAGGTTTTAAAGAATAGAAACATGACGAATGGATACATTCACTCCATATTAGTTGATTTTGATGTTTGTAACCCGGGATTCACTGATTCACATCATCCAGGAAGTCAATTCAAGAGATTAGTCCAACTATTCAAAAAAACACTATTTTTAGCTTTTGTGTTGTAGTTTCTTTTTTTTAATGTAAGAAACAAAAATAATAACTGTTTGTTGTGATGACTTAATAAACAACGGACTCGACTTTCAACTATTGAGTTTCAGGCTCGAACTTCATTCCACTCAGTTTATTTCAGCAGGCAAATATAGTATTTACTAGCCCACACATAAACATGCACTTGGCTATTGAGTTGTATTGTCATTGATATTGTTTTTAACAATATTTTTTAAAATGTTACAACAGAAAACTTTAGCAATTGCTATTCATCTACTGTTGTCCATTCTCTTTTCAATAACTATTTACAAATGAATATGTTAACTACAGGTACACCATTTTTATTATTACTGGTTATGTCGAGTGACAGTCATTTAACAAATCGTCTTAAAATTTCAATCTCACCTACTGTATGTTGAAAAATTTGACATTTATGTAGTTTATTCAGGCGTTATACAATAGCTATCCTTGTGCATCCACTATATAAAAATGTAAAGTAACTGCCAACTGGCTGTTTTAAATTATGAACTCGTGCTTTTTTTGTCTTGTGACATTTACATTCTTTAATCTATTGACTACATATTTTGTTATAAAATTTAAGATCTTTTATAAGTGATTAAATTAAATGTTACAATGACCAAATGAATGTAAAGTAACCAACTAATTTACTGTCAGTTTTGATAAATGCTTGGAAACTGTATGATAGGTTATAAATGTTTGCATTTAAGTTAGTTCTATCTGATTGAAATGTCAGAATTGTGTGAGTATTATCTATCAATCTTCAGTTTTACTATATCTAGGTGATATTGACAATAATGTGTTGAAAATTGTATATCTAGTCTGATATTCCTTGGAAAACCAATCATGGATTCATCCTACTAAATCTTAGTTTACATCAATATATATTTTCTACGGTATTTTTGAATCAATGAATGATGGATTATGTTCAATTCATGTAAGTCTTCATTATCCATCAGTTGAACAAGTGGTTTGGTTAATTCTGTCAACGGAACTACCAAGTGTAGTGATTATATTATCTGCCTGGCTAAAGTGAAGTCGCATGAAGTGGTTTAAATCAATCACTTACTGGTCTAAGAGGACAAGTGCTTAACCTACTAAGCTTTAAATATGTTCGTAGCTGCTTGGAGTCGACGTGATTACCATGAACAATGTTTGGAGAGGTTGGATAATTACTTACTTACTTACTTACGCCTGTTACTCCTCGTGAAGGAGCATAGGCCGCTCACCAGCATTTTCCATCCAACCCTGTCCTGGCCAATCCTTTCTAGCTCCGTCCAGTTGTAATTCATCGTTTTCATATCTGCTTCTATTATCCGACGCAATGTGTTCTTTGGCCTTCCTCTTTTTCGCTTCCCTTCAAGATTCCAAGTTAGGGCTTGCCCCGTGATGCAGTTTGACGATTTGCGTAATGTATGTCCTATCCATTTCCATCGTCTTTTCCTAATTTCTTCTTCAGCTGGAAGTTGGTTTGTTCTCTCCCACAGAAGGCTATTGCTGATGGTATCCGGCCAATGGATGTTGAGTATCTTGCGTAGACAGCTATTTATAAATACTTGTACTTTCTTGATTGTGGTTGTTGTAGTTCTCCAAGTTTCAGCTCCATACAGTAGAACTGCCTTGACGTTCGTATTGAAGATTCTCACTTTGATATTGGTTGAAAGTTGTTTTGAGTTCCATATGTTCTTTAACTGTAGGAATGCTGTCCTTGCTTTGCCAATCCTTGCCTTTACGTCTGCATCTGAACCTCCTTGTTCATCGATGATGCTTCCTAGGTATGTGAAGGACTCTACATTTTCCAGAGTTTCGCCATCAAGAGTGATTGGATTGTTGTTTTCCGCTTTGAATTTGAGGACTTTGGTTTTCCCTTTGTGTATGCTGAGGTCTACTGATGCAGAGACTGCTGCTACACTGGCTGTCTTCATAGGTTGGATAATGGTCTTCTGAATTTATCTAGTGACACAAGTGCACACACTTTTTTCATCTTCGTAGTTAAATCTTGAGTTTCAAAACTATTTTATACTTTGTATTCTATGAATTCATTCTTCTCAAATCGTATTTTCTATGACTATTTTCTTTTACTATCATTAATACTACTATGTTGGATATTTTTTGATAATTCCATCTACTTATGTTGATGTGGTATGGGGACGTGGACTGATTGCCTATTTGTGCCCAGGTTATGTTACTGATAACTGAATGGCTAACTATCAATTTTCCCATTTAACTTTATTAGATTACTTCTAATATGATTTACTATTCCAACGAAATGATTACCATTACTAGTACTATCATTGTACCATCCTGTTGAATAAATTTGTTGTTTTATAAAAATACCTTTGTGAACTGACATAGTAGAAAGTTATATTAACAAATATTCATTGACTATAAAGAAATGGAACTTATTTTAAATCATTAGATAAACGAATTGGGCAATTAAATTGCGATGTAGTCACCAAGATTATTGTTAACTTTGTCATAAATAAAATTTTCTTTATTAGCATAAATCACTTTCAATTTGGAGTATTATTATTATAATTACTATTATTACTAAAGATGTCTTATTTTGTATCGCTAATTGTGCTACTTATTACTTTACTTCTAATTAATATTCTGGTTTTTTTCTTAGGTATCTATTTAATAAGTTTCAGTTTCATTTTAATCTAATGAAACAGCCAATATGACGCCAAAAGAATCCTTGTCTGTTACACTACATATTCTACATATTACCTACGTGTATTCTGTTCACATTTATTATTTATTATATGGGTTTTTTTCATAAAAATGTAATCAAAATATTAATCATACTTTTCTGTTTTTCTACCCGTTCTTCCTATCTTTTCCTTTATTTCTGTTCCTTTTTGAAACAAATCAACATGTAATTCAAAGTACATTTCCTTGTAATATTTCATCATCATCGTCGTCATTCAGTTCATGTTTATCAAGTAGCATCTTGTTTTATTGCATTAACTTTTATCAAAAATGCAATAATGCTTCTGTATTTATTTTAATTTAAATAGGATATTTGCGTATCAGTATAATTCGTTTCTTTTCATTACAGAAACAAATAAAATCTAATGATCCAATAAAGAGTTGATGATAAATATTCATCATCCTCTATTGCCAAACACATAGCTGAAACAGGTCATAAGATTGATCTTAACACGGCTTTTGTGATGTTATACAAAAGTGTAGAAGGGCGTATAGTAAGGCCTATTGAAGCCTTAGCCATACGAAAATTCAAACCCCCTTTGTGTATTCAAAATCAGTTTGTTGTCACCTTAAACCTGCCCTGGTAATATTAGCTTATTATCCAGAGCGATGAGGTTTCAAATTGTTTTCACATTATTTTCTTTGTTATCCTTGTCTCCTCTTACTCTCCATTTCTAGTCTAGTTGACCTTTTATTTTTATATACAAATGTCCTTAACAAGCTTGTATGTGATCAAATTGTTCGAAGTGTATTACGCTATTATATCACATAGTTCTGATAATCTTCGTCTTCTTATTACACTATCGAAATTTGTCAAAGTGACTAGTTGCTTCAGATTTCTTTTTATTCATCAATATCACTAATTTTCTAATAAAATCTCTTTATAATTTTTCCTAAAGAGTTTGTATGTCAAGCTCATATTGCTTATTCTAGCTTCTCGATATACCAACTTATTCACTCTTCTTGAGTTCCATTTTGACCTTGTTAATTATTCTCTTCACCTTGCCTTGCTTTGCCCCACTTAGCCTTTGCCTTGCCTCGATTCAATTGGACTATAAATATAAATGCGAGGATTGACGATATGTATATTTCGATAGCAATCATCCTACAATCAAATTAGAGTCAGATATCGGGACACAAAATGTTCCTGAAATTTTGTTGGATAACTTATCTTAAGAAAACTATTATTGTTGTAATTTGCATAATTGAATAGTGTATACACTACTGTATTGTGATCATAGATAATTTAGTCTAGGAAAGCCTTGGTTAGATGAGTTTTCGGCATTCGTACAAGAAGATACTTGAACTTAATCTAGACAAAACACTTTATTATTTGAATGAATCTGACTGATGATTATGTATTATAACACTACTGAACTGTTCACCATTTAGTGTATGATTCAACTATGATGTTTCTCTTTCACTAATAGATAAAATTAGTGAACTTTCGTCCTAGTAAAACTTTGCCCCGATGCCTAATATTTTCCGTTATAATTAATACCATTACTACCTCTATTACTCTGGAATTTGTCCTGAAAATTTCGTTTAGGTATACTAATGGGTTATGGAAACTCAAATCTGTGTACACATATGACAGGTACTACGTTGCGTATGACTAGCTGTTATAATAGTAAGAATTATACCCTTTACTTAATCACTTGTACGAAAACTAGTGATGTACATACATATCTTTCTTTGGACACAGTGGAAATCAATATTAGACAGTCAAAAGTTAACTGAAATTAACATGATGATTTTGTTTTATAACTATAAATAATAGATGAATTGAACTGACCTAGAAACAGTAAGGATAAATAGTCTTAAAAAATAACAAAATCCTTGGTTAGATAAATCACACCTGTTGTTTCTCGTAAATCATCAACGTACAAGAGAATAATTTATATTTAATGTTTGTTCGTTTGTTTAAATGTTCATGAAAATGTCTATTTTTCTGTGAGATATTAAAAAAATACATTCCGTCCATAATCAGTGTCTTTTACTTATCTGAAATTATCAGCAGTGTTTTCACTATCCAATAAATGTGCTACATATAGCACTTTAGATCAATTTTTCCTCTCATTTGGTCGGTGAGTGCTGCATATTTGAGTGTAATTTTAACTAAGTGGTTTCACTCAGTTTCTGGAGCTATCTGCAATTGTGTTATGAATACACCAGTGTAGCGCATCCCTAAATATAGGATTAGAAACAGAAATGTAGTGGAATTTATCACTTAAAATTAAATGTTTAATGTAAATCACACTGTTATGCAGGATACTAAGTAGATGGAAAAGTGACCGAAAGTGATGCATCCAAACTCGCTTATTGAACATTCAAAACATTGCAGACAATTTCACTATTTTGTTTTTGTTAAAGCTCCATTATGTTCGCAGTATTTTTGTGTAATAATTTAATATTGATAATCGCAGTTTTAACCAAATCGCCTTTGAAGATTGCTTCTTGCTTACTTTTGTATACCAATAGATGAACTGAGAATATTTGTTATATCATTTGTACAGCTTAATTTTCCTAAACTGTAAAGATGCTGGATTTCATTTGCCATAGATATTGAGTATTTTAATTTGTCACTTAAGCAGTCAAATCATAGCTAGTAAAAATTAAGGGTTACTATGTTGTTATAATTACTAGTAATCATTTGGAAGCTTTAAATTTTACCATTTTGAACCTTTCATCAACAAACCATACTTTCAGCATTATTAAGACCCATTTTACTGTTTAAATGTTATTATTATGGGGATTTCAGCTAGTTTTCATTATTAAGTTACGCACAATTGTAAATATATACGACCTTTCGTAGTCAAATATAATTGTCTTTGTTATCTTTATTCACAAATTTTTGTATTATTATTGTTATTACTATTGGTTAAACATCCTTATTAATCTCCTCAATACATGAATTATTTACTTCGCATTCATCCCACCTTATTATGTCTTACTAATTTTTTATACAATATAGTCTTCCATTAAACATTTGATCAAATTGTAATTACACTATTCTCTCACCCTATCTGACCCATATTTATTCTGATCATGGATCTTGAAATTTTCATTTAATATATAAGCTAATTCAAGTTAACATCCCATTGAGTCATATCAACATTAACAATTTTATTCTATTTTGTTTGATAGTCCTAAATTAATATGCTTTAACTTTAAACGACGCACTTTGCCCTTAACCTGGCCATTTTTCGGATTATTAATTTGGATATATTATTGTAAGACCTGAAGAGAACTTATCGAAAAGAATATTCTTCGTTAGTATTAGTCCTTTAATATGATGGAAATCTTTAAACAATCATGACAAATACTTTCTATGCTGATATATCGAGAAGAGGGCTAAGAAAATTACAAACATTTCTCTGGTATTCCATTGAAATTTAATTTATAAGAAAAAAGACTAGTTTTTCAAAGAAATACTTTGTGTTATACAAATATCCCAAAACATTTCCCTACCTAAAGATATTAAATTGTCAAATATATATTTTTTGATTTAATGCTGGTTAGTATTAATAATTATTAGTTTGAGAATTAAATTAGACAATTGACAAGGCATATGTTAACATACTTGGTTTCGAGCTTGCGACTTTTAAAATGAAAATCATACACCCAAACCACTATATCATAACTCTGAAATTAAATAAAATTGTCTGTTTACATATTGCGCTAAACTTGATCTTTTTATTCAATAAATTAGAAACCTTTGATATTCGAATCCTCTGTGAATTCTTTATTTCCGTAAATAAAACTTTTTATATCACACAAACACACATATAAGTTTAAAACTCAACTTGATATTTTAGAGGTACTTGACTATTATCATTGTCTCTCTCCAAACCTTCAACTATTCTGTTTACAATTAACACATTTCATCCAGAAGTAGATACACTATCTATATTTGTGCTTGTGTGCAAGGTTGAGTGGTTGTGCACTTGCTTACTTCATAGGTGTATAAATTTATTTCTAATCAATAAACTACATATAGCAAGCTCTATGAGATGCTTTTGACCTACTTGAGTTTTGCATTTTGTTCATATATAAATACCCTGAATTCCAATACAACCTTGAATGTTTACAAAAAAAGAAAAAAAAGAATACAACAAACTATTGTGCATATTTTAATTTGTATTATCAATATGAGAAGATATTGATTGATCAGTTGAAATTAGTTAAGTCTGGTGAGTTTTGAAAACAACCTATACTGATGACAATATGGATTGTTTTCGATTCTTGAACACCTTAACTATAACAAAAATAAGCGTAGCTAACAACTTTTAGTTAAAGGCAAATGAATACTTCTGTTTGATACATTGGTCAGTTTGGGAATTTGTGATTTCTATTTGAAGTGACCTTTTGTGCTTAACTAGACACCCCAACACTAACGTGATTATTGTTTGTGTAGTATAGACTTTAGCACCAGTGTCAGTGTTTCCGCCACTAGTCTGTTTACTGATCTTGAAGTTATTTTCAGCTTTTTTTCCAATTTATGGCATTCAGTGAATTATGTAACTAATTAAAGCAAACAAAGAATAACAGGATAAAACAGCATTAGAAGTGTAAATTATGGCACTAACATTGCTGGAGAGTCAAATGAACAAATTGTAGGACAGTGAATGTTTGTATCATAGTAACATTCGTATAATTCCTTAGATAAACTTTTAGGGATAAATCAAAACATTTTGATTTGTTTTCCCATTAAATTTTCCAATAGTTTTTTATTGATTATCTTATTCACTGATGCGCCATTAACCGGGGATTCTCACTCTACAATGTGCTTCGTATCGAATTTAATGATAAAATACTGTGTCAATGATCTCGTTTGAGTTTTCATAGGGAATTGGAAGATTTATTTGATAAAAAAACTGACAAACACAAAGCTTTTTTCTGTAAAAAAAATATCAGTAGCCATCTTTCAAGGCTAAACAATATATAGTACAGTTTGTAATGAGCTTAGATAGTTTCTATTCAATGTGAACACTTGTGTATTTTATTCTTCATTATTTTATTTTATTCTTTTTCGTGATTTTAGTTTTCTAGCAGTACACCACCTCTTGGTCGTGTTATGGGTAGGAATTTCGACGATGAAGGTGAAAGTGATGTGAGTTTTGCTGTCCATACTTTAAACTATAATCTAATTTGCAACTGAATGTGTTGTAACATCTTTCAACTCCTCATACTTTCCTTTCAGTCTATGCTATGGGTTATATCGTATTCATGGTTTTTCTATCTATTAATAATCGTATTGAAATTATTTGTATTACAACATTTGTTAATTATCTCAAGTGAAGCTAAATTATTGATAGTTTAGTGGCTACAGTTCCGGTGTTTCTTTTAACCGCTTGGCGGTAGATTGAAAACCCATTTCATCTATCTGCTTAACCAGTTCGACCGCCCAAGTATAATTAGTTGCTCTTACACCAAAACGGATTATAGTAATCTTTTACCTCATACATAAGTTAGATTTACGTTATGGACCAATGAAACAATTAGTGCAAACCAATTGCTGATTTCCTGAGATTACAATAATTAATCGGTAAATACGATCACAAATGTAACTTTTATAAAAAAAGTACTCTAATTTTACATCGTTCACATTGTTTGAAATGAAATAATTAGCTATTGTGAAATCATCTTTCCATTTGCTACGGTTACATGAAGAATATTGAGACTTAGAATAATTGGTGATATTCAGCTTTCACTGAAACATAAACGATCAAGAACAGTGATAACAGAAATAATTTTATTATGCAAACCATTCTTGTGCAATGGAATACAACATCGTTATGGAAGAATATATATAACTGTATAACAATTACAAGCATCAGTAGTAAACGTCGTTAGATATCTCTACTTTACAGTTGCAAGTTTAAGAAGAAAAATATCTGCTTCTAATTCCTTCACTTAACACAATAGTCGCGATAAGCAACAACAAATCTAGGGTTGATCAACTAACGGTGTAGTGAACGAAAACACAAGTGGGGACAAGCAAGTTTATTAGAGTACATAATTGCAGAATCTCGTAGTAAGATCTGAGAGCTATACAGTAAATACTTCATTTGCAAAATGTCAATCAATTATCTCAAACTTTATTGTTCTTTTATCTCCATGCCAATCACTGTCTGTTCTCATCCTCTTGTCTTCGATCTTATCAACCTTCTACCACCATGCATCACACTTTCGATACATACTACTTATATCTATCGATATCAATAGCATACACCACAATGTCATTGAGTACGACAAAAGTGTTCAAGATTGTCAATATGACTAATAATAACAACAGTATTGACAACTAGTTTAATATCAGAAGGGGTTTAATATTTAAATCTAATATTTTTCCCATTTGTTTACTCTTAATTTAAGCCCTATGTACATATATATAATCTAGATTGGTTTGTTTTAGAACTCAGCTCTAGTGGATTAATTTTTCTCATTACAATTTCATTTGTCTTATCATAATCATAATCTTTAATCACATAAGTTTATTTGTTTTTTAATTAAATTTTAAAATCGCCATTCAGTTGAAACTTTTCTACTGTACTCATTTCTTTACGTCACTCATCATTGTTTTCTTCTATATAATAAATGGATTATCAGTAATTTTTGTTTTTTCGTACTATCTGTAGATAGATTGTATTTGTTTATAAATTAAATATTATTTTTAATATACCTTTGGTATTGAATTGTAAACTATTCACATATCAACAAAGCGTTCAACATTTTCTTAACGATTTTTTAAGGTATATATGTATGTATTATCACTAAACTATGATGACGTCGTTTGTAGAAATACTTATCAATCAATCATTTGTCTTTCCACATCTCACCCTTTTATTATATATATATATATATATATATATATATATATATATATATATATATATATATATATATGATTGAGTTAAGAGTTGAACTAGTGTTTATATATGAATGACGTGAATTTGTTCTACCGTATTGATTAATAGTACTCTTAGAGTGTTACTTGTGTATTGTGAAACATCTGTGCACTTGTTGGTCTCTGGATAATAATCAGTGTCATGTGATTTTGTTCAGTAACAATTAGTTGGTCATGAAGCAACTTTTAATATAATAAGGAGGCACTGGAACAGTAAGTTGTAAGTTCAAATCGTGACCCACTCACTTTGATGTGACAATAGGGTAGGATTACTGTACTACATACACATAGAAAATTGTGACCTAAAAGCAAGTATACAATCATGTATTCGATTAATATGAGTTATCATAGCCTTTGAATTTTTCATTAATTTTAGCAGACATAGTAACATTTTGCTATTCATTGAAATTCATTTGGTCAGTACCTTATATGTAGTATTTCACTCTTCTATACTATTTCTTTCCTATATAGCGTTTTCGTAGATTCATCAATTCTCTGTCTTTTTTTCTCAGAAATGATAAATAAAGTAAATTGGACTAATTTCTTGTGTGCTCCGATTTCGTTATTATTATTATTATTATTATTATTATTATTATTATTATTATTATTATTATTATTATATTTACACATTACACTGTGTTCAATAGTTCTGTACCTACAGAAAAGATAATGTAACATATTTCTGGTTTGTATAACTTACATTTATTGTTAGATCAACTTATTTCATAATACATATCACTAGTGTTTATCTCCAATATAAATGTGTATATATGCACAAAGTTACCTAATTAGTATCATCAACTTAATAACAATAAAATAACGTTGGAAAGATCATGAACTATTTAAAGATCCCATAAATGATAAACTAAATCAATCATATAATAAGGAAATGAAATAAATGTGTGTTGTTAGTGCTAATCGATTATCGCGTAATTACTACTACATACAATTTAAAGGCTTATAAGTTTTCCTCAAAGATACTTTTCATTTGAAGATATCATCTAAGAAAAATAGAATTCTACATCAATCATGTAAAACTTAACATTAAGATTTATTTCGAATCTTGTATTTAAATTCACATCACTGAATAACACAACTTCATTATAGGCATTTTCAGTTATTTATAATATCTTGTAGAGTTCATTATAAGCATTCTCAAATATACCTTTCATAATTGTTGTGACTTTAAGTTGTGGTTGATTTTTACCCTGTGCTAATTGTTGTGTCCTTGACTGAAAAACTGGAGAGCAGCGTATTTATCGACCGATTCAATGACACGTAAACACGTACGAACGTAATGGACGACCTGGAGTTACGATTGGTCCCGATTCCCTGTCTATCCCAGCCACTTGAGTCCAGAACACAAATCTCAGCCTCTGAGTTATGAATCATTGTATTTCAGACATACTCTATTTATATACTAACCAAACATACCACATCGTACCATAAAAATAGAAAACAACATTTTGTACCATATTCAACAAGTGGACAGATATCGACCAGTAGGAAATGTCCATTTAAAGTCCAAGGACACCATTGGACTTAACATGATAATTATTGGTCTGTCCTTCCGCATCCACAACAATAATATAACTCCAATAAGCTTTTTGTCTTCTTATTACTATTTAAATAATATAATACATTGCTTACTTAATATATTTGTCAGTATGGTGATGCTCACTGCTGAGGAGTCCTATACTAAGACGAAACGGTTGTCCAGTGTTTCCAGATTTTCAATGATGGTCTAACTTAGATTAACTCAATAATTCAAGTGTTGAATAATCGTCTGTATAATATAAGTGCTAGCAGTGATAATTTTTTAATGCAAACATTTTCATTTGTCAAAATATTTATCTCTGTTTTGCTTTATTTATATTTTATAATCTTGTAATAAACAATTTACATTCTACAATTAACTTTTAAAATTGAACTCTATCGATATGAATATATTAATTAAAAGTTTTCTCCAAACTTGAATACTAAATCGTTTCTAATTAATATTACAATAATTCATTAGTTCAATATTAATCTCATTTTAATTCAGTCTTTTTTTTAAATTTATCACCAATCAATATTTTCTGATCATCCTAATTAACTTGTTATAGTCTGATTTCTGACCAATATATATATATATATAGAGAGAGAGAGAACTGTGTGTACATTGTCTTGCACAAAACATCGTTTATTTAGCAAATGAATCTTAATATTGATTTAGTAAAGAGAAAAGAAAGATTTTATTTATTTTTTTATTCCGTGAATTGGAATACGTTGAATTTCGAAATTAGATACTCTGATATATATATGCGTTACGGTTTTAAGATATTTACAAATTACAATCCATTCATGATATATTTCGTAAAATATCAAAAAATTGTTTACATGATGTCTGTTTGCTTCTCTCTCTCTCTCTCTCTCTCTCTCTATATATATATATATATATATATATATATATATATATATATATATATATATATATGGGTGGGGAGTGAGATGTAAGTATGTGCGCATTGTCTGTACGCTAACTGTATTTTACATGTGATTGTTGTACTTTCGTCTCGTGCATTATTTATTCGAAATTCTGTTTTGATCTAATCGATATTCTGGTTCCAATTAGAATGAATTGAATAATAATAATAATAATAATAATTATTATTATTATTATTTGTACTATGGAAATAATTGATTATTATGGAATGTTTTTGGTGTGCATCATAATTTTGACCAATATATGTACTTTGTATTTTGACTGTCAAAGCATATCACTTCGAATATTTGCAAGTCGTCCAGTGTATTTATCATATATTTATTTGGTTATTATTATGTAATAATTTGAAATTGTTTTATTTTTGATCATAAAGGCTTATCTGCTTCAACGTCTGCTAGAGATTGCCTAAATAGATAGTTCATCATTTTTTGTGTGTGGGCTGTGATACTGCCCCGGTGCCCAAACAGAAGCAGGTGGTTTTCTTGACCTAAAGGTCTAACTCACAAGGCAGTGGCGCATCGTGAGGACATGCAGTCCCATGGTAGCCGGTCACCAAGACATTGGTTCATACGCCATTTGTTCCCATAGGATACTGGAGCCCATGTGCACCATTGGTTTGGGGTCCGGTTAAAACGCCGGACATTCGCTTTCCATCTCCTCATTTTCGTAAACAACATCCCGGCCACGAGAAGGCGGTGAGTAGAATTTCCCTGGCAGAGGCTGTATACGCGTGGCCGTGTGAGAGTATTTGGAGAGGGAGGGCGAGCCCAACCCGCTCTCTGCGATACCAGGGCATTTGGGGGACGGAGAGGTGGTCATTGTATGACATGGTGTTGTGGTATGAAAGAAAGCTGCAAAGGGTTGGCTTCTGTTGGTCCTTCACGACTCATTGACTGGGGTCCGTGAGATGGTGTCTGAGAATAGAAGCCAGTGGCGATCATGCTGTAGCCTTTTACTTTCTTCATAAGAAGTGGTTGCTTCTTCCCTAACTGAAAGATTTCTTCTGATTGTACCTTTTCGTTCCCCCCGTTATTATTATTATTACTCTACCCTACCTTATTCTGTTCGTTATTGTTCTTTTTTTTAGGGTCCTCACCTTTTTTCCTTATCCTCTTCAAATTCCCATTATTTTGTTTGGCGCATATATATTTGGTGCCCTCTTGTACCAATATTTATGTGTTCAAATAAAAATAAACAATAAATAAGAAATTACCTTTTTTGTTGATTTCATTTGTCATACTCAGCAAATGGATTTTTTAAACAAATTACTCATCAAAGCGAATTACACGGTATGTGTGTAGTGAAATTCAAGGTTATTTTGTCTCTTAAATCTATCAAATTATATTATACTTTCAAATCGATCAAACACAAAAGGTTTTTTATGAGGTATTTATTTACTGTTTAAATGTTTTTCCTCAGTGACTGTCCGAGTTATTAAACTCATATTCCTTAAACGTTATAAGAAATTTATAAAATTGACTGCTAAAATGTCGAACATGTAGAAATACCACAGTATCATAATAGTTAAAGAATATTCAGAAAATTATTTAACCAGTGAATCTTGTTCGTATGTAGATTACCTGGTTTTTGAATACAACTATCTTCAACTTAACTAAATTCTTTGGTGATGTCAATAAATGACAATTTTTGTCCTTAGACCTTCAGGTTAAATTACTTTTTTTCTGATAAATTATTGCAAATATCATTCTGTTAAACAGTAGCAGATTACAGTTTTAACACTTCACTGCATATTTTCTGCATTATATTTTCTTATTTCCAGCTTAGCATTGCAAATGATCTTGCTCACTTATCATCAGAATTCGACAGTGCAACGTCAGTAATGAATAGTCCGGCTAAGTGTGCTATGTTTATCGATTACTTGTTTTCTCATAAACGAGATCCTACATGGACGGTAAGTACAGATGTTTATCTTTTTAGTTAACCCATCGTTAACTGTTATTTTGTATATTTAAACTCATTAGTTAATTAATTTTCTTTTACTATAGGATAGTTTCTACCTTAAGATGTTTGTGCTAGCTTACCACAGTGACCTCGTTGAGCCACACTGATTGCGGCACTTGTTCCTTAACATCTCACCACGTCAGGGAAGTCGGATATTAGTATGCTTATAGTGCATCTAGTTTGGATTAACATTCGCTAGTTATCAACCCGATAATAAGAGCGTACATTTAATTATAAGTGGTTGTACTAGCAGTATGATTTACATTCCTAATCATGCAGCCTTACTACACTACAGAGAACGAAAGATTTTCATAGAGAAATTCCTAAACTCAACCTTGTTTTATGGATCCCTGTTGCTGTTCATTGGATTATTTTAAAATGAAGGATTTCCACAGCAATCATCGTATGCAAAAACACTGATTAGCTATAAGGAAAGTGGTTTCAGTGCATAAATACTCTCAGCGAGAATCCAAAAAGATTCTTTCGTTTTTGTTAACTTGTATCACTTGTGATATTGGTGAATGTTTGTTTCTAAAACATAGGACTAATATATTCAGTAGGATTTCGCTCTGACTGTGGACTTTAAAAATAGAGGACATCGGTAATTTACTAGTGTTTGGTCATAAGTACCCTTCGGTGTGTCTGAATTATTGAGTGAGCAATATCAGGGCTAGCTGCAAACTACTACGTAAAGATGGGAAATCTGTTGATGTGGTTGTGAATATTCATTGATTGGGGTGGTAAAGATGTATTACACTTGCCCAACTACCATCTACTTCGAAGCGCATTGTCGTCTGTCGGACTTATATTTTGGAAGGAAGCTAGGAACGATCAAACCAAGATTACATATCTTGGCTTGATCGTTCCATGAGGTCATTGATTGTTGGACTGGTGATTACCTTATCAGGATCATTTGTGTAATAACCACGATCACTGTTTCTGGATTTTGTGGACAATTATAAACAATATAATTAATTCACTTAGTTGGTTTCATTCTTTATCCTTCTCTTGATGTTAAATTCCACCATTCTTTCGTACATACGTTTCCATTCTACTTTTTCATTTCATATTGTCAATGTTCAGTATTTCTTATTATCTTTGCTACTATATTATTTCGTTTCCTTAACTATCTATTTTATTAGTATTATGTCTTCGTGCTGATGTGATATAGCGATTTGAGCTAACTCACATTTTCCCAAGGCTATACCTTGATTATAACTGATCAATTTAAGACTTAAGTTCTCTGTGGCAATTTTTTTCAAAATTTTCTAACCGGAATTATTTTCGACTGTGCATAGATTGATTCCATCTGAGTAATCAGTCGTTTGTTTAGAGCTTTAGATTATTTGAAATGTATCGATGGATATTGTAGAAAATCACCATAAATGTAATTCAATGTATATATATGTATTCCATTCTTCTAGCTTTTTCACATTGTCAATCAATACTTTCAACGATCAATGGCTTCATCAAAAGAATTGATTAAAGACGAAAAACGTGTTTGTCTGGAGATATTTACAACGTTCCTACATGAAAAGTCTGTAAGTCACAATCTTTTTTACGTATGTAAATCATGGGATTATTATTATAACTATTACTGTTATTTGTAATTTGATCATATGTTGACGTTTTTCTATCAAATATGCTAGTCACTAGCGAATAGCTCAGTTTATTTTTCTCGTTGATATCACTGCCAACCTTTAGTTGTGCTTAGGAAAATTATTTCATTAGATATATCATCGGTCAGTACTTAATTTATTGATTCCATGTTAAATAACTTTTTTTACCCATCGTTTAGAAATTAACGATTCTAAAACAAAATTATCATATTTTAGTAAATCTTGATTTCATTCGAAATTTACGATACTGATCACAATATTTTTTTGCAAAGACAAATTATACTGAACTATCATCAGCAAAACATTAACGATGTAATAATAAAAATAGTTAACAGACAAAATACATGAATCTTACTCTATTTTGCAATGCTGATCGCTATCAAACCTTTACCGACCTGACCGATGTATGCAGAAGGAAAGTGTGATTACTTCGACGTGATTATTAAATGTTTATCTAATAAGCCTAACCAATTTTAATTTAGGGTATAACACAACAAATGTGCGTAACGAAAGCGACCCATTCAGCTGAATAGCCTTTCTTCTCTAATCACAAGATTGTAATTTCCACTTTTTTTCAACCCTTTCTCCAACATTTTTATTTTTATTATTTTTTCGTCTTTTGATATTCATCCTTTACATAGTCATATTGATGTTCACACATTTGTTTACTTTATCATGTTGAGCGATTACCCAATCACCTATCAGTTTCCACTACCCTTATATAATCTATTTTATCTTGATTATCATTTCTGGTAACTATAACACCTGTTCCACTCTATATTATTACTTTCAAACATATAAACGCAGATTGATTTTAACTATATCTATTCATACACTTTGTGTCCTATCCTTCTTGTTTTTATAATTTTAATTACATTCAAAAACCTATCTAAACTGTTTGTTGTACAGTTCGATAGTTGTAGGTGATGTAAGAAACAAGTTGATAAACTTAGTGACTGACCGAAGCAACAGAGAATTCAACGTGAACACGACACTTCTAATTACCGTCCAACGTACTAGAACTTGAAAGAAAATTTACGCAAAAACATCACTTGAAAAAGCAAATTACATGATGATATTAGGAGTTTTAATGTTCTGAAAAAATTAAATGTTTAGCACCATAAATCCATTGATGCAAACCTGAAACTATGTCCTCGAGATTTTTGCATCTCGTGTACACTAGAAGAAGTGTAGTGGACGAAAACTCAGGTACGGTAAACCAATGTATTGTTTTATGCAAAATTATACAGTCCCTTTGTAAAATATCAAAATCATACATCACTTGCATGTCTTCCTTGAGCTATCCTGTACATACTTCACCATTCGTCCGATTCTGTTGTTATTCCTCTCGCTTCATGTTTTCATTCCTCTTCCCTTCATTTCAATCTTATGCTGGTAAGCATTTTACATTCTATTCCTACTACATATTACCTATACCCGTCTGCACAAGTAGTACCCACCACTCAAATTCTTGCATATGAATTCATGAAATTATAAACAAATATTGCATCATATTGTTTGGTAACAAATGTATATAAAATTAGTAAATTAACTTTTTTATTGATTCCTGTTTCATTTCATTTCAGCCATTGCGTTTAGATGTAAGAACTCCAGTTGTGTTGAAGTCATTTGATTTTAATGAATGCTCGAAATTGTTCAATGTTATTGATCAACAGTGTTTGAGTCAGATTGAAGTACAAGTTTCCAAATTAGCTGAGGCAATTAATCTAGGTAAATTTTATACTTCACCGTTTAACTTGCATATGGTTTGCTTATCAAACCAGTTGTTCTTTTTTGTATGGACCTATTATGATTCTCAGTCGAGGTTCATAAATGACATCTGTTGGTGGGTTGGCAAAGTGTCATATACACTTTTGCTTGATTTTAAAACTGATACCTCACTGTGTATATGATATACTTTCTACTATAGATTAGACGAACTATTGTTATCTTTTCTTTAATAAATGTAGTTTAATTCACTATAGATTTTGTTACTTTTGGACGATCTGAACTATGCTTACTTTCCTAATGATGAACAGTATCCTAACCCTAAGAGTTTTTCAGTCACTTGTAGTTTTGGAAAAATGCGCATTGATCAAAGCTTCCATACCGTATCGGCATGACCAGATGAAACTTAACAAGGTGAATAGCAATGAAGTCAAAATGACTGTAGTAACAGTGATAGAAAGATTATGTGTTGAAAACATGTTACGAAAATGCAGGATTAAGTGGTCTGTATGAAGGAATAGTAAAACTGAAGAGTGAATCGATCTGTGCCACTATGATCGATCCCGAATTTCAACTACCTAGTGTGATTATAGCATAGACCCTCACTAGATAGTTTTCATTTACTAGTATACGTTAGGCCGATAGTCAATGTCATCGTGTACATTTTTCATATCTTAGTTGAGACATTCTATTACTTTCTCCTATTTTCTATCTAGCCACTAATACCACAGTTTAAATGTAGTTAAAATCCAGCTTCTAACCTCCATTCTTTAGTTTGCTTTGCTTTATATCCTTTCTTAAAGGAAATGTACTTTACAGACTTTATTCATATTACTCACCTTTAGCTATCACTGAAAATTATTGTCTTTATGTTTGATTGTACGTTTTTTCCTTTTAACCAGGTATGGATACATGGTGTCTTTCTGAGCCAATTGATTTCGTTCTGTTTCGTAATAAAGAAGAAGAATTGGCATGTTTCGAATCGCGTCTAAGTAGTTACCTTGATGCATTGCATCAACTGTTTACCGGAAGTTGTACAGATAATCCAATTGCTCTTAGCATATGTCGATTGCCAAACACATCTGGATCAGTTACATATGAACAAATTACTCAGGCGATTACTACTTGTTTGGTTACAGCTCACCGGTATTATTCCATGTCTCAGATATCAAGTGCCGATTATCCTGAAACTAGAGATTCTGGACATTCTATTAGACATAGTCTTTTTGCAAGGTATGTTACTAGTGCCCAGTGTAAAGTTGAGAAGTTGAGTTTAAAACTACCAATAACATTTAGGATCTTTTTGTTTTGATGCGTGACTTATCAATCTAAAGAAAAATTCATAAATATTCTGGTTAGAATACCCTGTAAACATGATGACTTTGTATTTCCAATATGGGATTCAAGTGAGAAAAGTATACAAAACGGCTCTCCAATTTACAGTTATTTCTTTTTATTGTTGGTTAAACTATTTCAAATGGGTTACGTGAATTGCACGTAATTGGTAAAATCTTACGTATATATGGACCAATCGGGATTTCGTCCTTAATCTTCTTCATTTCTACTAATACACAAGCCTAATTGAGGTCCTTAGATAGTATAGTGTACAAAGAAAAGTCAACGGTGTTTTTCTCATTCCCAATTAACTTGTTTTTATACAAATATTTGTACTATAAAACTCAACATGTGAATTCTATAGATATTACAGAAAGAAATCTGATATGATGATGATAAATGATGGTACTGTAGTACTCTTATTCTTCAAACTGTCTTTCAAATTTCAAAAAGAAACATTCATTTCACTCTCACCGTTCTTTATTGTTTTGTTAATGATTGTTGTCATAGCAACTACTCCATAGTTTTCTTTCATATTTCGATTAAGGGTTAAGAAAAATTACTCATGAAATTAATTCACTCCGATATAGTAGAGAATTTATTCGGGAGAATAGGGCACAGATCAATATTGAAATATCAATTAATTAATTTCATCAATTCTGAATAACAACCTTGAGACAATCGAACAGAATGCAGATGTACCTTGTTTTTATTGTTTGTTTTATTTGTAAAGTTACGTCGTTTTTTTCAGTGGGAGAAAAGTAGAAATGTAAAAACTAATTTTATTTTCATACTGTGACATTCCTCCTTATTCGCTAAGTTTATTCACAAATAAAAGTCAAATTAGAAATAAGATTATTTTATTATAAAAAGAGATATCAACTACAAACTGATAACAGTACTTGAGAGCTATTGAGTAACTAACAAGTTGTTTTGTCTTGGTTTACGATCCAGCAGAATTTGTGATCCATCCAACTTTCAGTCTACTACACATTTTTGTGGCAGTTACATTTATTATCAGACAACTGAAAATTGGATTTCCCTGATTTTAGGTTATTTTTTTCTAGTTAGCATTCATGGTATAGAGTACAATATTTATTTAGACCCATCAGTGATTTACTCCTTTAATATCAACTTTAGTTTCAAGGACCTTGAAAAATCCATCTTGAAACTAGTCATTAGTATGCATGCAGTTATTATTAACTGATATTATGTAGATTGTTATATAAATTTATTTTTATGGTAGTTCTGGTAAAAAACTATTATCAACCATACAACTACTTCAAAACGGAAAATATTGAGCAATTATTTTCATTTATTGATCAGTGACCAGTGCTATGTTTGTCTGGTCTTTTACTACTGTTTCTGTCCATTAAGTTACAATATGGCTATTAGTTTGAGCGACTCAACGTCACCTTCTCTTTGTTTTGTTGTTAGGTTTTTAGATCGATAGAATTCGATCCACAAATACATCAGCCTCTACTTCAAGATCAATCAATGTAAATATCTCAGTCCTACATGATAAGGTCAATCGTAGCCCAGATGGCTTATTGATTATGTTTTAGACTGTGGAATTGAGTAACCTGTGTTCGAATCTATTCAACGGCTCTATTTCCCGTATATCTTTCTGATGAGTTTTAACTAGCATGAAACATTAGTCCAGGCTTTCCTGTCGGTTATATTCAACTAGATACTTTAAAAAGTATCTGATTTTAACCCTCTTAGTTCCATATATTTTGCACACGAACTGTTGATGTTTTTCTTTTCTTTTTTAACAAAATCAGGTCTTTTGAAAATTTAACTACATCCGCATTGGGTTTAGGTAGTGTATCAGGTAGCATTGGAAGTGGGCTGTCATCTGCTGGTTCACATTTATGGACAAAATTAACTCCATATTGTGCTAAGTCAAAACAGAAATCACATTCTTTGCTCAATCGTAAAAGTAAAGTAAGTAACATGTTAATTATTACAAACGTTTGTTATTATTCTTTCTATTTTTTTATAAGAGAGTCTCTGGCTTTTGCCTTTCATTAACTTTTTTACACTAGAACGGGATAGAGACTTGATGTTCAGTTTCATATATTTCAATTCATGGTAGATATATTATATATGGTAGATATATATATTCTCTGATGTCAAATATAAAACTGATTTTTTAAAACTTGGAAATGAATTACATTTCAAAATATGTTACTTTTCTTAATCGATTAGGTTAGCGAGATCACTTTGTCAGGATACACGAATACATCGTAATATAGAAAAATCATACCGTAACTAAGTACTCACAGTGTAATATGAGAACTAGTCAAATGTTTACAGTCATATATTCATTCTAGACTGTTAATTTATTATAGAACATATCGTTATTCACTGAATACATACACAGTGACTTCACAGTTTAGAAAGTTATAAAATATTTTACACTAAAGATAGGTAGTTGTGAGCTAAATATATTTTGTTGATTCTCTATTTATCAATACACATGATATCAATATACATGATTAATTAAGTTAAAGTCGACTACATCTGTTAGTGACAGATATTTGTATCATAATTGCTTATCATAATCGCTAATTGAGATCAGTGAATTCAGATCACTAGTTTCCTAGTCTAAATGGTAATTTATTAACTACTAGATCTTGAGATTTAAGATTTGTTCCCTAAAACAGTCATGTTGATGCAACAGTCATTCAGTTCTCATTAACTCTTTAGTGTTAAATTATCCTCTATGCATTTCACTCTAAATACTTGCCTTACATTTTTAAATCTGACCATGTCATTTTAACAGTGTTTTTTTTCCGACTACATAGTGAATAAAGAATAACAAAGCAATTACTAAACGATATTTTACTTGAATCTAAGAAATGTTGTTGTTATTGTGGTCGTCAAAATTTCTTATTTGACCATGTTTAATCAGTTTTTGAAATATTAATAGCTTTTTGGAGAATACAGTTTAAATTACCCGACCGAAACTGCTACCTTGACGCGGTGGTCGGGCTTGCCTATCGTGATGACCCAACCGAGCTATATTGGCTGGAACATATGTTCCTGTAGGTTCTACCATGCCAGGAAGGTCGATTGGAGAACGGTAAAACTAAAAGCAGCAACTCAAGGTCTGAGGGCGAAGTCGTACTGCTGACTGTAGAGGGGTGTGACAACAGTAAGGTGTTTCCCTCGAACAACCAGCATCTGCAGCGATGCTGCCTTCCCACAAGGAGGGATGGGGTTAAAAAAGGTCGACCCTAAAAATGTCACACCTCACCTTATCTCACGGATTTCCGTCTCCGGCGGTAAGGCCCTTTGAAGAAAGGAGCTAACACGTCAAAAACCTTCCACAAAAAGGCCGTGCGCGACCGTCCTCAAGCAGTTGTCCCTTGGGCTCTGCGGTCACGCTCCCAGGTCGTTAAGACCAACACTAATCAAATTTCCTTTTCAGGTTCCTCAAGAAATACCCTTCCACGGTGTGGGCAGCAGGGAAGTGACATCAGCCCTCATACTAGTAACAGCGCACGAGACCAAGTTGGTCACATTCAAATCCTTCCTACGCCTCCTAATACCTCTCTTATCTCCATGACTAACCCTCTTCACGTCTCTTTATCACCTCGCACCGCTAGGGCAAACAATTCGAGTACGTGGAACGCTACTCGTGGTCTCCTGAAACCACGCTCTAAACTACACGTTGGAGCTTTTAACGTCCTAACACTGTGCCAAATAGGACAACAGGCTTCCTTAGCTAGGACTTTAGAATCGCGCGCCATCGATGTGTGCTGCGTCTCCGAAACGCGCATACAGGATCCGAGTAGCGTCATTCATCTGACCTCACCGTGCCAAAATAAAGAACCGACTCGATTCACATTTCGTGTATCTGGAAGCCCTGATTCTGTCTTCGAAATATTGCTCGTATATCCTGGGACCATCGAGTAAGTAATGCAGTTGTTAGGAAACGGGTACTAGGTAAGGATGGCAAATCAATTGATGAAGTGGTGAAACTTCATCAGTTGGGATGGCTGGGACACGTGTTACGTATGCCCAACGAACGACTGCCTCGACGTGCGATGTTCAGTGGTATAGGAGTAGGTTGGAAGAAAGCTATGGGCGGCCAGACCAAAACATGGCACAAGTTCATGAAGTCATTGACAAGTGGAGTGAGTCATGTCGGTAGGTGTAGACTACCTGGTTGGGGACCGTGAGATGATAGCAACCGATGGTTAGAGACCCTGAATGACATGGCTCAAAATCGTTTGCAATGGCGCAGGTGTATCCACTATTTATGTTCTCCCAAATTTTGATCTCCTGATTCCTCCTTGTCTCTTTTTTTCTCTTCCCAAGTTTATTTCACTGTATCATACTCTTTAAGTAACATCTCCAAACACTAATCTTTCTGATTACTGCTTATACTCTTATTACATCTACCACTACGGGATTTGAATCGACCACTGCATCTCTGTGCTAATGTGGTGTGGCAACTCGAACTGATGTACGTACGTACGAAGTTCTACGTTGTTACTGACTGACTGACAGTTTAAATTAAGTCGAAATGATTTATCTATGAAGAAGATTCTAGCATAGTAAACAGTATGACCATTATAATACATAAAAATATTGATATTTGGTTAACATTATCGAACATTTTGTTATTGTCCAATAACTTTCATATAATCAAATTATTATTTGAATTATTTCTTAGTGAATGTCATGTATTTGTTTGTTTTTTTCTCTGGAAAAAACCAATACGATTTTAGTGGTCTCACAAAGGTCATTTATTTTATGAATACACTTTCGAACGTATTGCTGATTGTGGTGTTTGTGGATTTTTATTATGGGGACTCAATTCACAAGGTTTCAATTGTAATAGTAAGTTAAATTTTTTCACGCATCAAGTATAGCTATACTACTATTGAAGTTTGTATAAGTTGTATTCGTCCATTTCTATGAACGGACATTTTTTAGTTTCAGATAGTCGACAGAAGGCCGGGCATCTAGGTTTCATGTTACTTGGCACTCATCAACTAGGCGTGTATTTTCGTAATCACCACTCAGTGATCAATCAATTTAAGTGTCTTAATCGTACAGGGGATCAACCGCTATCCGAATTGATCAGGGGTAACGTTTCAAATCGTGAGAGCGTCATTTTCCTCAATACAGAAAGTATGTCTTGCTGACTGGTGTCAAATATCTCAAAACGTGGATCCAGCGTTCCCTACTGACTATCTCCAGTCGCCAAACTTCAAAATATAATGTAGTCAGTGTTCAGTCGCTTTGACTAGTGACCATATTGTAAATTGGTTAACTGTTGTAGTTCAGCATTAAAGGACTAGATAAACATGACATTACTTACTACTCAGTGATCAACTTAATGAATTACAAATTATTTGAACTCATTCTTCTCTATTTGAAATTAAACTAAGCAACTTATCTTATTCCATAATTTTCACCAATAACAAATATCAGTGAATAAAGAATCATACTTTGTAGCTCCGAATCGACTCATTAAAAACTTATATCAAATAAAGTATATGTCAATACAGAGTGCATTGACTTTAATTACTAAGTTATATACTAATGAAATAATTCTTATCACTCATTATCGTTAACTGATATATCCACTCAACTTATAATTTACCTGATAATGATAAATACATTTCAAAATCATCATTTCAATGGTTTTATATTGTTTCAAGGTTGTAGATAAGTTTCTCCAATGTTTTCTTAGTGTCCAACTGCGATTAAGACAGTTTTTTTCTTTCACTTTATAGATTGTGATCTATTTATACACTTAAAATGTAAAAATGGTATTCGAGATCATTGTGGTAGAGAAGGACGTAGAACAACTGGCGTCACGTCTACAAATGTTTTAGGCGGTATACTTGGTAGTATACCAAATCTCACAATTGATACACATGTTCCAGGTAACACACCGAACCAAACGAATGAATCATGCAATAAAGGTCCCTTAAATCCCAGTCAAATTGGTTCGAGTGATTTTATCCATCACGGCAAGTCGTTTATAATTTTTATAGGTGTTGTGGTTTCTTTTCTCTGTTTGGTTGATTGGAAAATTTAATGGGAACATTCACCAAAGTAATACTAACTGATTTTATCATCAAATTTAGTGTCATATTCACTTAACTTAATAGTTCAACATTATGTTGAACAGTGTATCTCAAACAGTTCGAAGCATTCTGAATGTTACCTTGGAGTTGCATAACAAAACATAATTACAAACTTACGAGAGTCATTTTGGTATTTTGGGCATCGGCAGTTTGGAACTAAATTATCTTAATTCCAGAGAGAGTATACGCTTCTTGGATTTGTTCTTTGCAAGTCTACTATTCTGTTGAGTACCAACAGAAAGCAGAACGTAAAAATGAATTTAAGAATAATTTTCTTTCGTTTTTTACGCGACACTTCTCAATTTTGTTGATTCTATTCATATGTGTTATACTATTACAACGTGTAGTGTGTTAACAACAAATCTAGATAAGAAGATTAATAAAAGATACAGATTTAGTTACAATTATCCATAGTTTTTTACAGTGTTCTCAGTTGTGAAGCATAATGTAAAGATACACAATCTCTATCGAGGAAAGCTTCTATACAGACTTGGTTTTCTCATTTTATTCAGTGAGAAGAGAATAAGTGAATCGAAACACTTCTATCCATTGCATTGTGTTTGGATTTGCAAATAACTAACGTAATACGTTAACGTATCACTTATCATGGACTCAAAAGTGTAACAAAATGTTTTGTTGATATTATCCACTGTTTGGCATCATAGCCTAACACTTCAATATACTGTGTTACAGATCCATAGAATAATTGTGATTTCTAACTATTAATTCTTGTCGACCAATTATGATACATTGTCCATAGTAATCATTCATTTTCTGTTTGAAGCCTCTTTAACTTGTTACTGATTTGCTAAGTTAAATTTTACTTTGTTATTGAAGTGAAATATCATATGATATTCACTATGTTTTTATGTTTATTAATTAAAATTTCTTTTTTATTCTGTTCTCTCTTTGCATTCTTTTCTTCATCATAATTAAAATTGATTTGTGCACTAATGATTAACAATGCCTGCCATAATATAAATGTGTATTGTCACTAATTAATAATACTAAATTACAGGTTCTATTCATCGACGTTGTGATTCTGATACACGTCATAAACAAAAGAAAGCTAATACATTAAAAGATTTTCATCTCTTACCCTCATTTCTTCATCGTAACAACAATGGTATTTAAATAATTAATGTTGTTAGTAATTATTTTCATTTTTGCTTATTTAAAAATACATTAACACACTTGTTTATCGGTAATTTCGGAGAAATGTTTATTTCTACTATTATGTTGTGTTACCTTTTTACCCTTTTACAAATTTTCATATTTATCAAAAGGAGAGATAATATCAAAAAGTGTTGAGTAGTTTTCACTCTTATGAAGTGCATAAGTAAATCAATAATATGTGTAGTATGAATAGTTTAGTTCATTTGACATATATATGCTTGAACAGCGAAGAAATTTTACTAACACTAATAGTGTGTTCACCATAAAACGTTATCATTTTGGGTATCAAAAATTTGGTTAGAACAAAGAAAAAGCAACCTAAAATTCATCTGTTTAAGACGTAGGCTTCCGAAGTCTTTTTAACGTTGATAGTGATTATCTGCCTTGTTTGGTATATAATCCAAAGAGCCATTCTACAACTCAGCTAAGTGAAGTTTCCAGAACGATAAGTCATATATATCTAGTTAACAGAAATAAAGTCTAATAACCTTGTAGTTTGTTTTAGTGATACATTATTTCTTTTGAGATGATTTTGACATATCTGAAATTCTCACTATGTACAAGGTTTCGTTAATTCAGTGTAGAATCACTTTTTTGTTTAAAGTATTTAAAAGTCACTTGCGATCCTATATTACCTAAAATCACTATTAATTTATATAGGAGACACTTCTGTAACCATATGAGTTCACCATATCCTTAGTATACATCAAGATGTTAACATTAACAACAAAATAACGTTATGTGATTGTTAACTTTGCTAAATTTGAAATGTTTTGTTTTTTCTTAAATTAACATAATTTTATGGATAGCCACTTATTGTAATCAAATTTTAACGAAAGCTTTCTGTGTTGATTAATATTACATTTTGTTTTCTTTTTTTATTCTCGTTATGTTGTTTTGCTTTTTTTTCTCATGTTGTTTTAATATTTGTATTTATCAATGATTGATAGGGTATCAAATACTTTTTAATACACATTCATATTTCTCAATTAGAAGTTTCTGTGTACATGTTGACTGTACAGTGAGTGTAACAAGGTTTTTTTTATAAAAAAGAAAGAAACCAAATTAAGTTGCATTGCATGATATTTACTACTCAACATAGTTTGATGAGATCAATTCATACATTCACAATTAAAATAATTAATAATGGAGAATGTTGATTATCCTCTCAATATCTCCCTCTCATCAAATGCTGTTGTTGATACATTCTATCACTATACTGATTTTAGTATGAAGACTAAAACAGTTTATTATCTATGTGAACGGTTTGTAATTTTAACAATATCAGTTGTAATTATTTAAAGTGTTTTACTAATAATCTATACTGCAGTTATGAAGTACTCTACTTATATGCACTAAAGGGACATAACTGAATTGAATGATTAATCAATATTTAGTTTCTCGTATAATACTGTCTTGATCTTAATTATCATGTTAATCAACAGCGCAATGAAAGAGAATCTGAGAAGGAACATAGACATAACACTAATCTTTTTCTCGTGTTTTAATCGATTTCTGATTCTTATCTTATTGTTCTGAAACCACAAACTTTCAACAAGAAGTCTAAGTGTGTCAACTCTGTTCAAACTAACAATTAATGTTTTCATTAATCGACTCTGAATCATGCACTCTGTTGCACTGGTATCAGTTGTAGTGCAGTTTCATTCTATCCAGTTTATTGAATCAATGTAAACATTAAGTAGATATGTCATTATTTCTATCAACGATTGGTTTGAAAGTAAAAGGTAAACTGGACAAATTATTAAAAAATTTAGATCAGTTACTTCTAACTTACTGCTTTTACAAAGCAATCATGCTAAACACTTTATATGATTATTGGTTTTCCGTATGATTATTTCACAATTAAAACTAATCATATTTCCTTGATCATCTACGTACGTATCATTTTGTTTGCACAAAAAAGTAATCGGATTACTTACATTCTATCACTTTTCATGTCTATTCAATACACATACCACACTGTTGTTGTTATCGTCATCTTCAGGTCAATAAAACAAACAAATATAGCTGGCGAAATTGAGGCCAATGGCAAAAAGTATGTTATAAAAAACATACTGTTTCTATTATCTTCAAAAACCAATAAAGGATAACATGGAATTTACCTCAATTATTCTAAACATTTCCTCTGTTCTGTTATTCTTTTGAGCGGTTAATATATTTCATTACTTTATTCTACATATAAGCAGTATAAAATATTTATTCTCTTCAGATTTTTTTGGTTGTAGGGCTACTTGAAGATTGTTTTGTTTTTCTGAAACAAACGAAAATAGAAACTTTTCGCTCTCACTCATCAAGAATTGTATCATAAGATAGAGAGTCTCCGCATAATAGTGTATATTGTTATATAACTTCCGGGATCTGCTTTTCGTTGCTAATCTAACCAATCATTTTTAAGGTTGATCTATTTTCGCCACATTTTTTTCGTTATTTAGTTTGTGTTATTTCTTTATAATAATAATAATAATAATAATCATTAAATTGCTTGTATTTTTTTCCATATACATTCAGCTAACTCAGTTGATAATCCACTTGACGCTGTTGCGTCACTAGACGAGACAATTAATTCATCTTGTCAAGATAGTACTTATAGTTCTGGGTTGAATGAAACTTCTTCAATATCAGGCAATGGGGTTGGTGACACATCTATCAACTTTCCTTCACCAGGATTATCTAAACGTGATTCCATTTCATCAATGTCAGTTGGCTCCACATGTCAAACTCCTGTGGATTCTTATTTACAATCTGCTATTGGTCAAACAGACAAAATTAAATCGAACGGAGAGGAATTTGGGATTATGGGCAATGATTCGCGTAGGTTGAATATCTAATAGTTTTTTATAACTTTAAATGTAAAGTGTGTAGAAGTTTATAGAGTAAATTCCAATTATCTTACATATTTTGTATAGTATGTAATTTTATTGAACTGGTTTAAATACAATCTCAAAAAGTTCCATTTTTCTAGGTTATTTGTAATTCTTCCTTTCTTTTCATATTGATTCTTCTTTCCGTATAGTTTGTGTATTATGATCGATCGAAGCTCATTTACTAGATATGATGTTTTATGTCTATCATGCCTCCTGTTTACCATTCAGATACAAATACTTCCAGTAACTCTTAAACCGTGTTGCTTTATCATTCGTTGAATATTTCAGATATTTCAAATTTTTCTATTTTATGGTAAATAATACAAATTTATTTATTATTTAGTGATCTCGGTTTTCTGTTCTGATTCAATTTGATATTATTTAAGATTGTTTGAAATAGATAATAATTGGACAGACAAATTGAGAATTTCTCTTCTTAAATATTTAACCAGTCTGTGCATTTAATTCCTTTGTTTCATTCGTTAATCACAACTTTCTATTCTTCCGTTTTAGTCGGCTACTATGTTTAGCTTAATGATTTTTCACTCTTTTGCTTTTCATCCTGATTGTCAACTTAAACTGAATGCCTTTGTACCGAATCTTACACTGGCTATCTCCTAAATTTTACGAGAGTTGATGGTTTTCTACCTTTTTGTCAATAGTTATCAACTAAATAATTATACGAATATTCGTCAAGATTAGAACGAATAATTTGACAGTAATTGAGCGCCGAGTATAGAGAAGTCATTATATGTGAAAATTATATTTGAAATATTCTCAGCGATTGAAATATAACTAATTCCAACGTTTCGTCCAGCTAACTTGTCTGAACTTCTTCAGGGTAATATATATTTCATTTGTTTTACCTTTTCTCCTCTCTCTCTCCCTCTGGGTTATGTGTCGATTAAAATTTGAGTGCAGTTCTTCATATAGTTGGATAACAAAATCCAGTTTTCTATACTAATACGATGTTTATGCATGACGATCTGTAATTTTGAACTCGTTCTAATAATTCTTTAAATTTTCTTGACTGAGTTTGTGAGCTTGTTAAGCTACATGGTATATATATATAACTTCACCGTAAAATTTCTCACTGTTTCTTTATCTGACACTGATTTGTAATAGAAAGTATCTTCAATAAGATTTCGGGCGATCCATCTTCGGTAATTAACTTGTTTCTTTATTATATTTTTGGTTTGTGTAAAAGTTTTATACTATAAAACAAATTTTTAAGGGGCGGGGGATATGACAGTAGTTGAAAAAACGAAATCATTATGAATAATAATTTGTTCATACATTTTATTACTAATGATTATTTAGTCTGAACGATAAAGTCAGTTTTTAAAATAAGTGGTTATAATTCGCAATTGGAAAAATAACTCTAACAGTTTTTTCTCATGAAATATTACTGCTTGTAGTATATAATCAATTTATTTACTTGAACACATAAATATTGGTACAAAAGAGCACTGAATACATATGCGCCACACAAGTGACTTGATTTGTGTGCGGGCTGTGATACTGCCCAGGTGCCCAGGTCGAGGGGGTCACGCCTGAAGCCTCCGACCTTAAGGTCTGATCCACAAGGCAGTGGAGCAACGTCAGGAGATGCAGTCCCATGGTAACCAGTGGCCAATAATTGGTTCGTACTCCTATTGTTCCCTCAGTATCCTGGAGTCCATGTGCACTATTAGTTTGGAATCAGGGTTTCCCAACTCCCTTAGATGGATCATCCATATCCACCAACCTTGTTAAAGCTCCAGACATTCGCTTTTCGTCCTCTCAATTTCGTAAACCACACCGCCGCAGGAAGGCAATGAGTAGGAATTTTGTGGTAGTGGCTGTATACGCGTTGTCATGTGAGAGCATTTCGAAAGGGAGAGCTAAATTTCCCCACCCTCGGCCGTACCACGGCTTTAGGGGCACCGATCAATAAATAACATTTGACTACATCCATCCAGCCAGTTAAGTAAATGACAAACAGTATAATGCGTAGTTGTGTATACATTTTAAGGGTCCTGAATCCTAGAGATCCAACACTTGAACAAAAGTTTCGACAAGAATTAATCTGTATTTTTCATACATTTAGCACATTCATTCTCGTGAGAAAAAAATTTACACATTTTTTTCATCCATCTCTCAAATTATTAGCGTTTTATGGGTGAATCAACACTAAATTGATGCTAATATGATTAAAATAACCCATTGTGGCATCGAATTCCGCGAAGATTATTTTCTTTTCAATAAAATCATTTACTTAAGCTGTACATTCATATTTACAATTCTGTGTGTGGTGAATATATGTTGGTAAAAGGATAGTTAAGATTGTATCATAAAGTGATTCGAGGCTCCAAATATCAAATGAGTTTACGTTATAATCAGAGGTTTAAAGAAGAATAGAAGGATGAAAATAATTTACGGATCAAAATTATGAAACATAATTGTCCGTTTGACAGATATGAAGAAAAAATGAGAAACATGAATGCTGAATAATAATCATGGAAAATTGTTAAAGTGTAATAATAACTGATTACGGTTTAAAATTACAAAATGCTAATTTAAGGAAAAACAAGACGAAAACACATTACAGAAAGGAATTAAGATGGGGAGTTGGACGTATCATTTTTGCACGCAGAGTTCGCGCTTAAATTGGTTGATCGTCAACGCGGCGCATAAATTTTTGATTCGACCTCCGTTCGATCCAGTTCCTTTGATTGTGCAGATTATGTTAAAGGAAAATCTCTTCAAAGTGACCTATCCAGAGTTGTTTAGATGCTCCCGTTATGAACTGGTAACTATTTGCATTCTCCTTTTAAAAGCTTATTATAAACATATTTACCATACAACTATAAATACGAATGTACAACTTGAGTAAATGATTTCATCGAAAAGAAAATTTTCTTCACTGAATTCTCTGTATTTTAATTCAGAGATGATTATGTCTATACTTAACATTGGAATAGTATCCTTTCAATGATATACTTCCAATACACAACCTCTATATATATATATATATATATATATATATATATATATATTCATTTATTCTATAAGATGTGATAAAGTCAATTAATTTTTTGTTTATACTGTTTCTTTTTTACTTTTCAACCTGCACATGGGCACACCTTCATTTAAACGTATTTATACATGTATATTTTCTGTACCTATCTACAAAAAATATCGTTTCTATGGTATTCGTGAACTGGTTTTCATACACGCTCACATTATTATTGGCTAATTTTTTCTCTACTATCTGCTGCGTTTGTGGTGTTATATTCTTTCTTATAAAATGATTATCACGTAATTACGGCTTTATAATCATTCATATTTGTGGAATTGCTGATGATATTTTTGGTGTACACACGAACGCATATCAACCTGTGCATACTTATATAAACTGTTTTTTTTCATTTAACGTTGGCTATTTTGATCATAATTGTTCATTATCTTCTATTTTCATCATTTATATTTTTTTATTCGGTGTACTTCATGCCATATTCCTGTTTACTTTCACAAATCTAACATTTATGTGCTCAATTTCTCTCTCTTCGTGTGTTTAACGGCTGTTGTGATATTTTCTGATATTTTTTTTCAAATAATAAAAATTGCACTTAATCATTCTACTGTATTATTTTCATCTGAAGATATTAAAATTCCATTGGATTCGAGATCATCATCACGTCGTCGCTTAAGTATAACAGTTAAACAAGGTTAATTTTTTAAAAGTTTATTTATCCTCTGTTTTTCCTCAGACGATATTGGGATTAATCAAGTTATTATGATTTTTAAATTTTCGATATGTTATCATAAAAAAGTAAATTATTAATTGGCTATTATTTTGATGACTGTCCTTATTGAATTCTTCCTTCTGTTAGCCTTTCTTCAGTGTTCATTTCATTGATTGTTATTTGTCTTCTTTATAGTGTGACTTTGATTCAATCTACGTCAACTTCTTCACATGTTGAATTTGTATGGACTAAATTAAGTTTCACTCCATTTCATTTATTCATGTTTGTTAGCTTGAAATAATGAATGCTACACCTTATCCGAGCTGTTTATTTTAATGAATCAGATTGCATAATATTCAGTGATACAGGTTTTTGATTATCACTGCACACTGAATCAATACATCAGTTATAATTAGACAAGTTGCCGATAGTTGACCAAACGTTATACAAAGAACATATCATCTCCATAGTACAGATGTTGATCATTTGAATTTTGACGAGTTATCATGTATTTGTAGGCATCAATGCCAACGTTGAATTCGATAGTTTCAAATAAATTAAGCATTATGTAGAAAGCTAATAATAAATATATTTTTCTGTGGTCTTATTTACTTTATACGATTTAAACATGTGTTAATTTAATTCGGCTATTTATTTACTATGAAGAGGTGGCTTACATTAAGTCACGAAGCGTCAGAAAAATACAATATTTCTACTCGTTGAGTTATAACAACAAAAAAATATATTGATTATTGTTAAGTCGGCTTTCAGAGAACTACAACGGAGCTTCCAGAAGCCCTAAAGGAGCCGAAGGGTCCTACCCAATCAGAGCATGGTGGAGCTTTCTAGAGTATCAACGTGGCGTGCTACTACTGATCAGTAGCATTATATGTTGTTTAGCGGATTGTCCAAAAATATGACGTTGATTTAACAAATGTTAACATCTATAAATGCCCGTGTTTTTCTGCACAAAAAATGAACCTTTGGAGTGAAGTGCTTTTCGCTTATTTTGCGCCTTTTCTCTCGAGTTCAGGTCGCTGCGTAGTTCTAGCTTGCGGGTTACCAGAATAGCTTAGGAACCGAATAAAGCGTTCAACATAGCAAGACTTATCAATTATCATCATTTTTTTTTATTTGCTTATCATCTGTTTTCTTATCTATCTCAATTTATATATCTACAGTTGACATATGTTATGAGAATATTGAAATAACTTTATTAAAAGTAGAAAAACTTAAGAATCTGTGCTCATTTTGAGAGATATATTTACAAGAGGAACTATTTACTATTTGAATTATGATTCACTGTTTTTATTAGGAATATTTTATACTTTTCACATTATCCATTATCATACTTCGTAATTATAATTAATTTCATTATCTGTAATTGACAAAATATTATTGATAAGGTTATTATTGAAATCATTCATTTCGAAAAATTGCTGTCAAAGAAAATTTGTCTGAAATACCATGTTAATCAACAGAATTATAGTATAGGATAAAAAATAGCATTTTTTCATTACCACACTGTATAAATTTGTTTTATGTCTTACAATGTCAATCGTTACTGAAACAATGATCTTGGTCAATCTGTGATTGTTTTGTGTGCAAAAGAAAGACATAATTGTACACATACATACTAACACTTTTCTGACTGACAAGACGTACGACGATGATGATAGCAATAGTAACAGCAAGTACAACATTGTAAACAAGTCGGCTGTTCTGTGGAAGTTTACCAATGATGTGTATTTTTATTTGCAAATTAATTTGCTAACACTGTATTTGTATGTTTTGTGTTAATATTGGTTGCCTGTAATTTTACTCATTTATTTCATGCTAAGTCCATGCAAGATTTACTATGTAATAGTAATTATATTAGTTTGAATCTTCAATAATCGAATTCACATACATCTAGCTAACAAGTCCGCTGTCGGAGAAAACGCATGTCACACAGATTCCACTTTTAGCCATAATCTAACTTTACCCAGAAAACTGTCGTGATTATGTTTCCTAAACTTATGTATATATATATATAGTTTTGATCTCCTATTAAAATATTCTTTTTTCTTCTATTGTTTTATATACTGCTTTTCTTATTGCACAAATTTTCGTTCATCTTTATTACTGATCTGTTTCTACCAATTGATTCCTAAATTTCATTTTGTTTACTAATAATAAACATCAAGTGTTTTTCTAAACACCAATTTTACAAATGTCTATAATCCTGTTAATAGTTTCGGCGTGGATTCGCATACAAAATATGTAGAACTAAATTTTTATCATTCGATTTTGTTCGTTTGCTTGTTTGTTTGTTTGATATTTTAGGAAACTTTTTTTCATTTCAACTAAAGACTTCCACTAATAGTTATATTTGTAATATTGACAACCTTCTTGTAGACACATTGTATCTGAAAGTTAAAGACATGAAGTTGTACTTGGTAAATGATAAGTTACATAACATTCTAAATTCTCATATAAAACTCCTATCCCTTAATAAAAGAATTTGTGTTACTCTCCCTATGTTTAAACCTGAATAATCAGACAGGTAAAACTATTGTCATTTATCTATTCATCTTCCATACTTTTTATTCTTTGCCAAACTGTTTTCATCTCTAAATATTCATTGTGATTTAATTCAACTGTGGTTGACATGTCTTAGCAAATGATAGAAGTGAATCCAGTTGATTTCACTACAAATATTGTGTCAATTTATACTTCTTATACATTAACACAACGTAACTGACAAAATATTCATCTTCCCTTCATAAATAAATATTGTTTTTTTACTGTCATTGTTTGACTTATCTTTTTCAAAAATTAACAACTTATTTTTCTATAGTCTCGAAGAATCAATAAATGAACCGTTTATAATCTTTTTATTTAAACCTTCAGTATATTAACAACGTTTAAATAAATTCATCGGTAATCCCATCGTGAAGAGCGTACAATAAAGTCCGTTTATTTTTAATTATGTATAACTCTCAGTAGTTATTTATTTATAATTTGGGATGAAATGTTCACGAAATATTAATATTAAAATTGCTATTTGTTACAGAACGTGTTAATATTCAGATGATCGTATTCATTATTAAGGCAAATTCTAACGATAATCTCAATATAAGATATAATGGTGGCTAGCAGTAGGATACAGGACACGCGTTTCATCCCATTCGGGACTCATCAGCTGTATGTACCTGCATCCCAGAATTGATGTTCACTCTGGGAATGGAACCTGAATTCCACTGCTAACCATCGTCATCTTTTATCATTCTAGTGACTTGAAGCAATCCGTACAGGATACACATTTATCAATAACAGATTGATCGATCGCAGTCCTAGACATCAATGAGAAGTTTTAAACAACCAATTTAAAAATGGGATAATCTCAATGTAATTATTTTCATGAGGTTAAACTAATTGTTAGTAATTATTAAGTTAATTTGAAGGATACAGTAAGATCATGGGTGTACATATTTTCTATTTGCTTAAGTAAAATTACACATTTTAACAATATATCAATGCGTAATTCCTCAGTATCATTATTAATTCAACCATTTATATATTGGGTGACTTCTTTTAATTATCTATTAACGTAACTTTGAAATAGGTTTTTCATTTTGTCAGTCTTCACTACTAGTTTGTTTGGAAACTTTATTTTTGCAACGGGAAACTCCATCGAACATTGGGATGGGAAATTTTTTCAAAGATTTTCTCTTCAGCTCTAGTTCATATATCTTCGGGCTATCATTGATATGATTTTGATTGTCCATACTAATTACCTTTGTTTGATATTTTACAATATAATAAATATATATTTTATCTGTATATATTTATATTATATATACGTCAAATCAATTTTTTGCGTTTCACATTCCATTCATATACATTTCTGGATGACTCACAAAATTGTCTTTTATTTATTTGATTATTATACATTCCTTTATTGTCTGATTTGTTTCATCCTTTGGTTTTATGTTCATCTATTCGATATTTATTTCTTCTTTTCCATTTTTTTTCTTTCTTTTTTAAACAAATAAAGGTTATGTAAAACAAATGAAAAATCTATACGAAGGAAGTGAAATCATTCAAGAAATAATTCCAACGTCTCGAAGGTGTGCTTTTTTTATACTAATTTATATGATCAATAATAACTTTCTTTTATTCATTCTATCATTTAATTACATGTGATGAATGTGTTTATTTTTTTTATTTATAGAAAAGTATGATTTTGATTGTTTAATTATTTAACTCTCAATTAGTGAATCAAAATCTGAAATCCATTTGACTCTGTTGTGTTTAATTAGATGGGTAAAATTATGAATTTCTAACCAAAAAATAGGCTTACCAAATCGATGTTTAAGTATACTGATTTGATCTACATTTCATGTGTGTGTGTGCTATAGACAGAGAAAGTTATTCATACAAGTTGGTTGCCCTAATCAAAGTTCAACAGGTACCAAGCGTACAATCCTCTGGTTTAAAGTTGAGTAGTCCAACTTTTATGCAACCTCTAAACTGACAGTCTCATCATTATAAATCTATCTGATGAACGAAAAATGATACTTCGACTTTATTGTTTCTCAAGACCATTATAGATGTGAAGAAAATTATCTTCAATCTTAAATACCGTAATACCTAGCACTGCAAATCGGTAGACAGCCAAATATGTATAATCCGGTCAATTTCGATCTATAATGGATCAATTCAGTAAAATAACCTGTATATTGAGTCATTGGTGCTGCTAATGTATTTGAATCGGTAACGTTCTGTAAACAGTACTAATTGTTGCAACAATATATATGATGACATATTAGCTCTCTCGATAATATTATGTCAAGTTACATATTGTCATCGTTGTTAGTGATTATGACCACTATATTACTGCATTATTTGTCCCAATTAACACTTACCTAAATAATTTAGCCATCAAAATCTTTATATTGTTGATTTGAAGTTACTTATTTCATTGTTTCATCTTAATGTAAATGTTGTTTCACTATAAAAATACTTATCTTACTGTTGATACAGGCATTGTTTTTGAGAAAATGGTATACAGTAAGGCACATGCCTACATCTAATGTTTTTTTGTGCCTAGTAATATTGAAAAGACTTATTTAGAGCTGTATATTACAGATTACATCTTCTATATTTACTGTTGTGGGTATTCTGTTTTAAGAATACTAGTGCCGTAATACACCTGGTCAGTAGTTTACTTTTAAAAATCGATGGCGCTAATACTGGCGGATGCTTCCTTATCATTTCACGTTGTTTGTATTTTGAAGACTTTGTTTTACCTTCATTAAGTTATCAACTTGTTTCAAATCCTCGATTTCAGCGATAGTGTCGTTTCGAATATTTCCTCAAATCTACCTACACCAAGTAGCTCAACAGGTCCTTGTGATCGTCCAGTCGAAACAACATCATCACCATCTTCATCATCGTTAAGCAGTCCTATTTCAAATATCAATGAGACTGTACGTGAATTAGTTACTACAGACTGGAGTGATGATCCAGAAATGATGGCAGGAGCAAGTTTTGAAGCAGCAGTTGAACTACGAGCTCAGTTTCCTAATTTTCAAATGCCTAGTAAAGTATGTCTAAACACTGTTTTTCAATGTTCAATGTCATGACTTCAATTTAGTATTATCTGTACAATGAATTGAAATTAAGTGCAGGAATATTTTAAATTTACATTTCTATAATTTTTTATTTATAAATACGCTAGGTGTTTTCCAGTATCCTTCGTTTTCTTAACCGATCGAGGAGCTGAGTAGTCCGCAGGTGTCAATTCCGGTACACCTGCTTCATCTTTGACAGCTGCGTAGTAGCACAAGCCCTCACACATATAATGTGATTCAGCCGAATGCATTAATCTTTACTTGGTGGATTGGGCCGTCATCATTTGCCTTATATATTTTACAAATATGAAGAAATAACTGAAGATTGTTCAAAGATTCAATCTAGATACAGTTAGAATATATTTCCCACAACGTTTTTAAAGTGTATTTAGAGCCAGAAAACGATCAAAAAGGTACTAATTATATGAATAGAGATCTTACTTGACTTGGTAGATCAAACAGCTAACACATTAATAAGAACCTCGTGTTATTATGATAAGAGAGGAGATTAGCTTTTGCAAGTTAGCTTACATTTCAAGAATATGAATAATAATCACTGTATATAGGATAGACGTCAACTATACTTGGTTTTCCATACTGATTTTACGGTATGTAGTGTGTAGTTATTAGTCAGTGATATACAATGTAAAGCCTGACAGTTATATACATCTGAATTTACTACCATTACATTAGTACGGCAAGACAACATTTTTCCAATTCGAGATATTGTATTAGTAATACCACTAGACGCAAGCAATTAACCATATTATAAATATTATCTTTTGTCTCCTACACATCATTCCTCTCAAAATTATTTTATTTATACCTTTTTGTTTTTATTTTTGATCCATAATACGTACGTATGTCTAGTCTAGTCGCATTCTTTAACATGATTTGTTATCCGTTCATCACCATTCATAAATTATCCAAATAAATGAAACTTTCAAAATGTCACATAAATTTATTTTATTTAATATTTCTAGATGAAATAGTAGAATTATGCAACCAATTTAAAATGATTGTGACATTTTCATTTTTCCTATATACACTAACCATCATCTTTACTTGTTATCATCAGCTTAGATTGTATAACGCAGTTATGTATAAATAAAAACAACTGTTTCAATTAGTTATATATCAATATTTATCATTTATGATAAGTTGGCAAGAGGAAAGAAGAGATTGTTCACATTTTTTTTCATATTCCTTTTCATTTCTTTTAATATGATCTTTTTTTTTCAATAAAAAGGGTCAAAAAAGTGAAGAGTATATTCGTACACTAGTTCTATTGGAATTTCATCAAAAAACTCAATATATGGTTCGCCATTTGAAACAATACGAATATTTATTATTACGTCGTTGGCCTGTGGAACATGCAAAATTGGCTAAACTTTTATGCCTTGATCAAATTCCTATATTAATTGATCTTTTCCGTAGTCTCGTTACTTGTATTGATCAAACAAAAACCGAACAAGGTTATCGTGGTATGGCTGAAGCTGTTCTAGCCTGGTTAACTGATAATTCATCAGCTAATTTAAAAGTAAATAAAAATTATAAATTAAAAAATTATTACTGTAATTATTTATTATAAAAAAAATCATTGAAAATACTTATTTACAATGCACCAGCGGTCTGCACGTTGTTTGAATATGCCTGGTAGTTTATACAACTGTTCACTCATTTCCATTTTTTTTTCTTCGAGCAGAAATAAAATGAAATAACTATAGAATATTAAGCGATTTATGCACCCATTTTTTTCGATCACTGTATATCCTAGGCTTGATCCCTTTCTCTCTCGCCATATATATTTATATATTACTCTACTACTCCGGTTATCTTCTCTCTAAACTAGTTTAGTTAGTTCAAAGTAAATGTGACATATTTTATCGGAAAAAAGCGTGATTTTGAAATCTGAGTACTGTAAGTGAAGAATAAATTAATTTCGTATTTAAATTTTGTGTCGATAATATTCATTGAATCCCCTACTCAGTGATGGCGTGACCGTAATTTATGAATGACCTTTGAACGAATCTTAAGTGACCTTGAGAGGTTTCAGCTAATCAGAAAAAAGTCGGTATGGAGTAAGAATATACTATACAAAACTAAAAAATAGAGTGGATACATTTCTTTAACATGGTTTAAAAACTTTCCGATGTTATAAAGAGGTTTTGTACTCATACCACTGAACTGCTGAAGCCTCAGTAACATCTGCAAAGGTTGTAGCCAGTGTTAATGGTGCTTTTATTATCTAGTTTGCAACAATTATCATAATCTGTCATAGTGTCAATCGGGTCGGGCTGAAAAAGTCCCCGTTCTACTAGACGTTTTCCTCCAACATATATTACATCGAAATGCAACGTCGCAAGAATAGCCTACACACTGTCCAGTAGTCATTCGAAGATCACAATCTCTATTAAAGAAGTTCTCGGTAGTCCAATCTGTTGTAGTTTCTCAACTATTACGTTTTCCTTGAAATCCTCTGTAAACCGATAGCAAGTGAGCATTGGGCACTGAAACGGGCACCATGACCTTGGAATCACTCACTCGCTTCTGATTAGCTCGTCCATGAATTATAGTTTCGTCAAACAAGTGATTAAAACCAGAATGCACTGAACCATTGTATCGTCACGTCATGAGACTCATCAGCAGTGCCCAATTATGATTCTATCAAGGATCTAACAATCTTCACAAACCTTTTATATTGATAATTAGCATGTGCTCACAAAGAGCTTAATTTGGAAAAGTAATTTTTGGAGTTATAGTGATTTGTGACTTGCGCAAAGCAGTTACCCATTGATGGCATTGAAAGACAATTTCTCATTACTGCCCGTTGATTGAATTTAAACATTTAAATCAATAGGTTTCAGCTGTTTAGAGATTAAGGACTCACCGTGTGAACGAGGGTTCTAGGTTTAATCCTCGGTAGAATTATGGATGTACACTGTTGAGAAGTCTTTTACTAGAACGAAACAGTTGTCCAGTGCTTCCTGGTCTTCATTGGTTGTCTAAGATCAGTGCATGATGTTGATCATAAATGACTTGAATTTCTTCAGAATCCATTACCGCTAATCACCCTTCTTAAAACAATATTCAATAGTATTTTTCAAAATCGTTACAAATAATTTATAGATTCAAGAGAATTCACCAAAGTATTTGATATTTTGTACTCGGAATTCCCTACTGTATCAAAAGTTATGGTACTGAATAACGTGATTATTATTATTATTTTCATTCATGTTATTGTTTGTAATGTAAAAGTTTTCATACTTTTCATCTTCACAGATATGGGCTCGTTATTGTCAAGCTCTTTCATGCTCAAATATGTTAGAAAGTGTTCGACATTCTGTTCGTGATTATGTACGCCGACATCCAGATATTGTACCTTTATTACAAACTAGGCATAATAAATTTGTCTTAATTGAAGGTTTAAAACAAATGCGAATTCTTTACTTTAATTTACCATTAATTGCGAATAATATTGCAAAAGATTTGGAAAAAAGAACTAAAGTATACAAAGGTAATTGACATTATTTTTTACTATTAGATTTTTTGTTGTTGTTTTATCTGTGTTAGTTTCATGTGGGTTACTCATCGGCCATTTGACCTAGAAGTCTAATCCAAAGGGTAGTGGAGCAACATTAGGAGATGTAGTCCCACAGTAGCAGGTGATCAACACTGGGTTCATACGCCATTTTCTCCCTCAGTATCCTGGAGCCCATGTGCACCATTGATTTGGAATCAGGGTTCCCCAACTCCCTTAAATGAATCCTCCATATCCACCAACCTTGTTAAAGCTCCGGACATTCGCTCTTCGTCCTCCGAATTCCGTAAACCGCACCCCACTACGAGGAGGCAGTGATTAGTACTTCCCTGACAGTTGTTGTATATGGATGACCATGTGAGAGCATTTCGAGTTGGAGCTCTGACTCTTGCCACCTTTGACAGTACCAAAGCATTTGGGGGCAAACATTTATGACATTGTAATAAAATAACTCAGTTACCAAGTACAAATCTCATTTACTCAGCTTTAATTTGCACTATTATTGTGATGGCTAGTGATAATCCGTGTACTATACAGTCTATAGCAAATTAAGCGTGGTTCAACCCTCTAACCTACTAATTGAAAGAAAATTTCTTCAACCAGTAATTCACTTTACAATAACTGCTTCAGCCGATGTTACGCAACATATAAAATTAATTACCGATTTCTAGACTGAATCTTTTTTAGGTCTTTTATGTATTATTCTAGTCCTAATGTACTTTGTTTGATTTGTGTCCTAACAAATACTTTTCATCACATTTTGTACTTCATTTTACTTCACTCCGTTTAAATCTACTGTTTTTTTGTTGTTGAAAAAAAACCTTTTTTTTCCAGGTGAAGCTAAAATTTGGCAACAAATTCAACTTAAATTGGCCAGTTTACCACAAACTATCGATAATGTTTGTATGCCTCTTGTTAAACGAATTAATCTTGGTCAATTATGTAATAGTTTGGATAAAAAAGATATTTTGTCTAAACCACTTCCGGATTTATTATTACCATTTCAGGTGAATGTTAATTTTTTCTTATTCTTACTGGAAATGGTGTTTATTTTCCATTAACTTAACTATTTGTAATCTTTTTTAAATTTAGTGATATCATAGGTTGTTGAAAGGGAATAATGTTTCGTTAAACATTGTACGTTATGGTTAAACTATCACAAAACTATATTCAACTTCTTACCATTACATTAGTTAACATTTAGATTACAATGGAACTATACAGTTTAACGATTGAATTATTATTAGTTCGTAATTACGGTTTTATTGCTTCGGATCCAGATAAAAATAGGTAGGAACAGAAGATAACTTTTTTTGATTTCATATTATTAATCGGCTAACTAAATTTGTACAGTGGTTCTTCACTTTGAAAGAACGTATCCTCTCTACTTGAGAATAACTCCTATTGCATCTATAATTACTGAATAACCGGGACACTAAAATCACAGCAAAAACCTTTCTATTGAATAAATATGGTTCTGTAAAAGCATCATCGAAATATTGAAAATATGCAACAGAGATTAGTGACAATGTCTCCCTTTTTCTCTTGTAGGATTATAAAAAAACGTGTTTTAAAAAAAACCATTTAGTGCACATAAAAGCCGTCATGCTTAAAAGTAAACGTTCAAGGTTTTACAAATCAACCTGGAACTAACCAGATTCGTTAATAAATATCGTTTCAAATCTCAATAATTTATCATAATGTACAAAATATTAATGAGTTGAAGAAAAAGCCTACTAGCTCCTGTCATTTGTGTCATATCATCGTACAAATAGTATTTCACTAATAAAATTGAATATTATTAGTTAAAATCATATTGCAATTATCAGTCAATTAAATGTTTTAAATTGTGTTTCATTAACAAAATTTGTTCTTTTTTGTTTCCTAATTTAGCTTTGTATTAAATTTTTTCTCTTCATTGCATTACTTTATAGCATTTGCTTTTAAACTTTCCTCGTGTATTATTTCATCATTGGGTTGTTGCACATGCCGAAGTAACAGTTGATAAATTAACAGCGAATCGATCAAATAAAGTAAATCATGATTATATTTGTGAACGAACTGAAATGTTGGCTATTCTCTTGCACAATGCACTTATGTTAATGGTGAAGGATGGTGAACGTTACATTTTACGTAGTTTTAAAGCTGTACGTGAACAAGGCGGTGGCTCTAGTAGTAGCGGGAACTCCAGTACTTCTGCTTCTAATAGTAGTGCTGTTGAACGTATTTCCAGTTTCGGATCGCCTGGTACACCTGGTGAAAAAGATCGACCAAACTCAGGCAATATATCTGGTTATTCTTCTATCTCTTCATGCAGTTCTCTTAGTTCTTATTCACCTAATTCAAATGCTCAATCACATACAAGCCTTGTTTCGGCAGCAGCTAGTGCTGCAGTCGCCAGTATGACTGATCGTTCGTCAACATCGTTGGGAAGCTCGAAACTTGTTCCTATATTCCCATTGATAGATGTGTTTACTTCATGTGGTGAAAAATTTGGTTAGTTTGTCAATTGATTTTAGTTCATTTGTGTATGTTTTTAGTTTTCTTAAATTTCTTCTTTGTTTATTAACTGATTATTTAGTGTTTGTTTGATTGTGAATTGGATTGATATTGTTTACCTCATATAGAACAGTTTAAGACAATTCTTAAAGCTGAACACTAAAAGTCAATTTCAAAATAACATTGTTATTGTCATTATGAAAACAATTGTAATGAACATTAAATAGTCACATTTGGTCAATAGATACTCATGTAACATATATTTAGGACTGAAAATACTACTTCCCTAATTTTATTTTAAATTCACTACTGACCTTAAAATGTTCAACTTCTAGACAGTGGATATCAGTGAATTTTGCTTTATTTTACAGGACTAGGGTATACGCTTCCATAATATTATTATTTAGGCACCAACCTAATAGTTTCAACCCTTTTTTATTTTAGAAATAAGTAGCTTAGAAACAATTTTATGATTATTATTGTTATTATTATCAATATTACTAGTAGTATTTATAATAGTAGTAAGGAAAACAACTACTCAGTGTTTACTTTTAGTATATGAATAATAAGCTGTCCATGTAAAATACCGTTAGTATCTCCTAACCAAACTAAATATGATCAAGTCATTTCGAAATGGACATTTAAAAGAAATACTTTCAGAAGTTTTTAGTTGTTTCTAAAAAAATAGATTTCTATCAGTCAGTAAAAATACGTCAAACCCTTTGAGTACCTTATAAATAACGAAAACGTTAGCTTGTTTCCAATGTGTTTCTGTTGATTGAAAAAAACCCGAATAGATTAATTAAAAAGTGACTTATGGACATTAGATAATAATAATAATGGCGATTCTCTAAATTACAACGAATAATTGTTTTAAATTCTAAGTAATTCTCTGACTGGTTAACTAGTGTATTTTAATTTTGTCACGGATTCGCAGTGGTTAATAAATATCAGCACATCTCTCTCTCTCTCTCTCTCTATATATATATATATATATATATATATATATATATATATATATATATATATATTTCACAGATTGAAATCATGAGTCAGTTGAAGCTAAACCACCATTGAAAACCTGGAAGCACTGGACAGCCGTTTCGTCCTAGTATGGGACTCCTCAGCAGTGCGCATCCACGATCCCGCACCACGCGGGGCTCGACCCTGGGACCTACTGGCTTCGCGCGCGAGCACTTAACTACTAGACCATTGAGCCGGCATCCAACGGTGTTAATGTCTAACTTCAACCAATCCACGAAGTTGTGCACTGCTGAGGAGTCCCATACTAGGACGAAACGGCCGTCCAGTGCTTCCAGGTTTTCAATAGTGGTCTAGCTTCAACTGACTCATGATTTCAATCTGTGAAATTTCTAAAACTCTCCACAAAACCCATATATATATATATATATATATATATATATATATATAGTTTGTAATCTTTGAGAAACAAACAATGTGTTGTAATTGATTATAACATTATATGATGTTTTCAAGTCATTTGTAAATCCCACGTCGCTAATTAATATCTATCATTGCTTAACTCTCACAGACTCTAATTATCTAAAATCCTAAAATAGTTAATATTTCAGTTGAAATTTTAGAATGTACATAGTTCACCTGTCTTGTGTTTTATACTACTCATTATTAAATATAAAAGTGATTAATTTATTCTTTTTTTCTCACTGCATACAAACATATAGGTGGTGATCATCTATTAAATATCGTCTTTATGAAGCAAACAGTTTTGATCCGGTTATTATTTTCAAAAGAAGATGAAAGACAAAAGTTCGTTGTTGCTTTTTATGTTGTTACTTTTGTTTTAATTTAGTTCAATCGATACTTGCAAATGATAAAATTTGAAAGATCTTTAATACCCATCTCTTATTTATTGATATCGATTTGTTTACTGTCTATACATACTGAATAATATTTAGAGAAGTTTATGTAGATATTCTAAAATTCTAAACTGAATAGCTTGATCATTATTGTTTTGTGTAAAATTTGTGGACGCACATACTACTTCGAATTTATTAAGGTTACCAGGCTATCATTACCACTATTTTATCATTTTATCACTACAGGGTAACGCGATATCAGATTTGGTAAAAGTCTAGTTGAGAATAGTTCAGTCATCGTATTATCAGTGACTGATGGTAGCGCTAAGTAGTTTGTGTTCGCGTTTTCATAGGAATACTATTTTCCACAACATTTTACTAATATTTTTTTGTATTTCAAAAGTACCAAGATGTACCGAATGCCGGTCGTAAACGTTTTTCTGAATAAATCTGCGAAAACTGTTTAATACTTTCTCTATTCCGATAAAAACCTAAACTGGGATACACGTGCGCTCAACTTATGGAGTCCCTAGTATGACAAAATGATTGTTCTGGATTCCATTACACTTAAAATCTATCGTGTTTATTAACATCTAGTTTTTCTTGTTCATGTATTATTACTAATTCTGTTAGTGAGAAAGTTTTGAAGTTGTCTTTCCTAGTAAAAATATTTATATGTGCCATATGCTTTTGTGCTTTATCTATCAAAACATCAGTTGGTCAGCTTATATTCAAGAAAATAGTGTGACTACACAAAGTATTGATCGACAACGTATGTTGAAACCAACTGCTTCCACCGCTGCCGCCTCTTCATCACCATCGTCATCTACTCAAAGTCGGTCGACAATCGGTATAACTTCTGAATCGCTCATTTCTAAAACTTCATGTAATACACCTACAGCTGATGACATTTCAATTATTACTCCTCAACCATCAACCCAAGATTTAAAAACTTCATTCGGTAAACTTCCTACTACATCATCAACTACTACAAATAATGATAAAACTACACACCCATCAGATATTAACAACACTGATCAAATTCCTTCCGGAGAAGAATCCACTGTATTTGTTGATAAATTACAAACCGCTATGAGTAAGTTTATTTATTTTATAAAATGAGAATTTGACCAACATTCATCATAATAATTAGTTTTAGTTAATATCCATATTATATCAAAGTAACTTTTGAGCTGTCTGTTGTCAACGCATCATACTAATATCTAGATGTATAAGTCATCTCCGACTCTGAGTATTAGTCGAGTATGTTGAAACTATTGTGCAATTTATTTTGGTTTTAAACAAAGACACCATACTATTCGATCAGGTTATAAAATTGGACTAACTAAGATTACTGCAGCGGTTTTTATATATACCTCATCACACCTTTCAGTAGTATGTCATAATATGTGACCAGTTAGTTTCTCAGAGGAACAACAGCAAATTTAATTTGCAGCACTATCCAAATTTACTTTGAGCCCTGTAAAGTTGTAGATAAGTTTTCTGTTTTACCTAATAATTTAAAACGTGTATTCACTTGTTATTTTATCTGAACTTATTAGCGTTTTAAATTCATTTGTTGCATGTCTTGTTCTGCGCCTTTGCATTTCTCTAGTTTCTTATTATAGCTACTTGTAATATATCGACCTTTTGATGTTGTTATTTTTCAATAAACTATTGATTACCGACTACATGAAATAAGACATGTGCTTTTCAATTACAGTCGTTTTAATTGTGTAAGACAAATTAATAAAAACAATTAAGACTAACTGGAATTAAACCGTGTGTGAGTTTGCCTTTTTGCTTACTTTCCAAATGTCTATTATATTTATTTCTTATTTCTAAGATTTGGAAATATAAATTTCTAAGTACTATAGTATTTTTATTCTCAAATCAGTCATTAATCAAACACTAATCAGATAAGAATTATTTAATTTTATCTCTAAACGTCTTTCTTAGTATACACTACTTCTAATGTTGAACGCCAGTGAGTAGTATTGATCTCACTATTTTTCAATCTTCGAAATGAGTCCTCAAAATACTTTGACTTTTATATTCAATAAATCAACGAAAGTCTGTTTTAATCAGCTGATTTCTTCACGAAGAACCTATCTTCCCGAAAAAACTAATGTCTTATGTTATCAATATTTAATATTTACCAACTAATGATTTCAAGCTTTCGCTATATTTGATCTGATGTATATCAACTCACAATTCTTATTCAATTTGATAAGAGGTTAAAACATTGACTGGTTATCCTAGTTTTTAATCGTTTGTCTTCAATTCATAGATACCTTTTATGAAATAGTCTTTAATACAAGTTCACCATCAATTACTTAAGTAAGTTAGTCAATATCATCGTTGCTTAACCTCACCATACAGAATGATTCAGTTCGTCTCGATTTCTGGAAGTTCTTTTGTTTAGGTTAAGTCTTTTTGAAAACTACCACGAAATATGTGAATATACTAGCTATAAATAATAAACTCTGGTAATAAATAATTATCATAACATTAAGAAAGTTGATTTTAAACTTCAATTCTTGGTGCTTTGATGATTACCTAGAACAACGTTTTTCTCCGTTTACTGGAAATATTTTAAGATCTTTTTTGTCTACTTCTTTGCATATTTCTTTTTCAATATCGTGCAACACATTCCACATTGTACGAAGCTACTGTAATTTCCTTTTTTCACCTGTCTATGATTAAATATGTTAGAATAACATTTTGAATTTATGGGTTCCGTAGATTAGTTAGTACATATTTCGTTTTGACTAAACAGGTTAATACCACGCTTGTTTTAAGCCATACTACTCGGCTGCAATAAGTTAAATAATTGCTTGTACAATAAAAGTATAGATAAATAAATTTTGGGAAATCATGCCATAAAAAACTTTTAACTAGGTACTCCGCTACTCTCGAAAACTGACAGTACTTAATGATTGTTGCAATCTGTCAACTGGTATTTGATTTTTATTAAAAAACCCTTAAATATTTTACGTGTTGATATTGTTTCACACACTTGGTTCCATCACACAAACTAAACAAGACGAACCAAAGTTTTGTCTACAGAGTGAAATGAATTATTTTTTAAAACATTCTTCATTACGGGCTGATATCAGCTAGATCATTAAAAATCAAGATCGAGGTCTACAGAAAAAGCTGTGAGTCATATGTGGCGAAATTCAAACGCCACTTTTACTTGAAGTTCGTGCTGATGATGTTGTTCAGAAAAATAATGGAAATTTCACAACCACAACGAACAAAACTCCACCTAAAATCAAGAAGCACTGCACACCTATTTCCTTCGTTACTTTAACCTTTTCAACAGAGTATATTCACCCTTCTACATAGAACTAAACGATTGACTTTATACTCTAAAAACATCGTCTAATTAGTGATCTGTAACACGGTCAGTATTTAATGCCATGGGTGAGTAACTGTTTCATAGCTCACCAACTACTGAAACTTTAAAAATTCATCAGTTTGTCAAACTTAATGAATAAGTTGGGCTTTTTTAGGAAAAGAATAATATTTACTTAGTTTACGTCTCATGATTTTGATCCACATCAACTAAATAACTTTTTCTTATGTTAATAGAATAGATCAGAAACGATCAACTTAAATTATACTAGACAAACAGTAATTCAGTAAAAGTTGATTTAAAAAAAAGTGAATGATTACTTTTTACATAAGATTATTTCGATTGAAATTATAAGCTAATGAGTGTAAGTAGTAAACAGTATTATCATTTTAAAATGAAAAGCGAATATAAAAGTATATCAAATACAGGAAATGGTATGTAGTATTACAGCAAACACCTAAACATTAACACTGAGATAAGAGTGCTTTTAAAAAAAATTCGCTTAATGATACAAACTACTTGAAGTGACTAAAGTTTTCCGTTCTACTTTCGATTGGTTGATCTAAACGTTCTATCTGTTTGATATCCCAGTTTATTACATCACTAGTTAATGGTATTCTACATGCTTAGACAGTCAACAACCTCTTGTTTTTCCACCATTTTCATCGTTTGTAGAATGAATTCTTAATTAGTGTAAGTAAACTAATAATAATAATTATAATATATTTACAATAATTCAGAATATTATCATTATTAATACTATCCAACTCAGTCTTTACAAATAATTGCACAAAAAAGTCTTAAAACTTCATTAGTTTATCAGCATACATTAAAACATTTACACAGTTAGTTGGTGATTTTTTTTATTTGGATTATTATTTCCGTTTTAGTTTATTCGCTAATCGATTTATCTGGTTATTATTAGTGAAATTAGTTGCATAGATTTGTTCATAATGTTTAGTTAAACAGTTAGATAACTGTATTATCAATACTAAGATAGATAATTTAACATAGTTAATTTATGCATTGTTATACATTTGTTTGAATATATACTAGTTTAACAACATATATATATATATAGTGGTCAACACTACTTAAACTTATACAAAGTATGCGTATTTTACCATAGCGTTTGACTTGATAGTTAAAGCACTTGACTTTCTATCACTGGATTGCAGTTTAGCTACCCACTTCAGTTAGAATATCATTAGCCTTCACACATATCAGGTTTAAGTTTTGTGTACTTTGTTACCTTTGTGAAATTAAGTGCGACAAGAAAAAGCATGTTTGCAGAATATGATGAATTCATCATATTTTCATATTTACATATACTATTCAAGCTAAATTAATAGGAAACTTATTGTGACTTTCAGCCTGGCTAATTATCACGTGATTTATTCGCCAATCAAAATACGACTTATTCAATCTTAGGACTGTGCCAAACCAATGACGCCCGACCGGTATGAGCAGCCTAGCGTCTTCATTGGTCACCTATCCCTTCCAGTTGAGTCCAGAACATCAATAACAGCTTCCACTATGCGAATCATTTATTTCAAACATACTTGGCTTATATACCAGCCAAACAGACCTCATCACACCATAAAATAGGAAGTAACATTTATACAAGATCAAGCCAAAATGTGGCTGGGAACGTGAAAGACTATGACTAATAAACTGAGTATAATTTAAAAATAGTAAATTGTATAATAATAATAATAATAATAATAATAATCTATGGGTCAAAATGAAGCATATAATACGAGGAATATAGGTATACATAATCTGATTACTGAATAATATATATATATATATATATATATATATATATATATATATATATATATATATATATATATATATATATATATATATATATATATATATATAATATTAGTCCATTAATAGTTCTCAAAAGTTACCCATAATTTAATTTTCACTAGGATATAAAAAAACTAATAGTATATATCACCGTATTTTAAGAACTGGGTAATGTGTGAATATAACAGTAGCACCGGAGGTCTAGACAATATTGCATTTTTCAGTACTCAGTTATTAATGAAGTGTATCTCAAATACTTCATACTCATCTTCCAAATTTTCTCTTACAGATAGATGTTTAACTGTGTCATAAATAAACGAGATACTGCCTTACATCATTTGCAGTTTATTTGTTGAAAGCTCAATTGCTACCTATTTTCAGCATTGCCAATATTTTAAGAATAGAATGGATACTGGATTCCATATTCCATAGTAAAACCATCGGCCATAAGTCTTTATCATGAAGTTTAAATACATTACGTCACTAAAGGTAACTTTAACCATACCTTGTATCGTCAGGGACATCAACTGAGTTTAATGTTTATTATTAGCGGAGCATTTAATCGCAATAACAAAATTTATAATTCTGATGCATCTCACAGTTCATAACCTCTCACTAGAACATCGATGTTCTTGTAGATAACACTAATCACAATATTTTCAAAAATGTCTTCAGATCAATCGACTTTCAACAGAGTTTGTAGCTAACTAGTATTTCACTATTTCAGTGACTTTTTATGAATATGCTCAGATGTAATAGAAGCACATTAACTTTATTTGGCATACTACTTAATTTAAATTTTATGTTTCAATAGGATAGCATTGACTGGACGATTAAAAATGGGAAAACACCTTAAAAAAATTCCTAACGACTATGGTCAATATAAATTTTAAGGTTTTATTATCCCTTTCTAAAATGATAAAGTATATTTATAGCCCATAAGAACAATGGAAGCTTCATAGCCAGTCCATCCATCTCAGAGATCACAGCAACTCCAACACTTCAGTATCCCATTTAAGATTAAGATTAGCGATCACAAATGAATTATCCATAAACATGCTATGTTATAACTTTCACGATATTGAATAGACAGTAAGTGACTCGGAATTTATTGTGATGTGCAATTCAACAACCATTTCGAAGAAACAGTTACTTTTTTCTATGTAAGATAAAGTGTAATACTACTTATCTATGTAGATAGAGCAATATTCGGACCCGGTTTATAAGTTGAACTAGTTCAAAACTGAAAAACAACAATCCACAGTATTAGTAATTTCCTGCTGACTGGTCAACTAAAAACGAATTATTGGTTTTTTTCTTAATTAAAACAAAGTTAAACTTGTTAAGTTTCACTTGTTCCTTTCATTTATTCACATTATAATTAGAGTGATACATATTTCATCACAAGTAAATAGCTTTGTTTATTTTAAAATCTTTGTTATTTTTTTTAATGTGGTGAAATAAAATTAACTATTGTTAATACTCTAATCGAATATAAACACATGTTTATGTGTCCTATTCACCCAGTGTCTATGTTTATATCCATTTAAATATTTATATAAATGTACACAATACTTTCTCACTTTAATTTCTTTTCTTACTAACAATCTCTGTCTGTTACTTTTACAAAATAAGTAAATTATTAATAGAAAGTAAGAACTAATGATAATAATGACGCCGATGACGACGAATTCGGTTTTGTTGTTCATTGTTAGTTTCGGTTTATTTCTTCACTTCACTTCACTTTGATGATAATTAGTAGGAATAAGGATGGTTAACTATAAAGTTACGCAATATATTGTGTATCAGTTGGTTTTTATACATTAATCAAGTTGTTTAAGAAAATATAAAAATAATCATTTTCTCTATTTTAAATAATACAGTTGGTTGCACGCATATTTATTTACTGTAAACAGTGATGTGAAAAACATTGTAACCATGTGGTTATTGTGATATACGTTCATGTGTGAAAGTAATAATTTACAATAATCAAAATATGATTCTGTAAAATAGTCACAATGATAATTTACATGAAAGTGTTTTTAAAATTATAAATATTCGACATGATTGTATCATTATAATTTAGTTTTATAAGTATGATTTAATAAAACTTAATACCTTCACTATTATTATTATTATACATATTAATAAAGTCCATTTGTTCACCATGATGTAGCTAATGTTTATATAATACTAAGAATTTCCTATATACACTAGTCAAGTAATATAAACGAGCTATATCGTTTTAGTTAGATCTTCACCAAACATGACTTTAATATGCATATAAAATTATGTAGATTATAAATAAATAATACTTTTCTCATATTTGGTTAGTGGAGATTGACCGAGGTCATTTATAGTATTCAAGCATACTCTTTCTAAACATGTTTTCCTTACATTAAACAAAAGTTATTGAAATTCCAGTTTAATGAAGTGTGAGGCAAGGTCTAGTAAACGATTTTCTCAACGTTTTATCATTTTGTCTATTTTTTCTTGGTAATTTCATTATTCATACTCTTCGTCCTGTGTATTACTTTATAGTAAAAGGTTTTGGTTGGTCAGTTTCATTTATTTCAAGAGCGAAATAAATCCCACCAGTGATATTTTATCATATATGTATATGTTTCACGAATGGTGGAGAAAATTTGTAGCTCAGGTGGATGATTTTGGTGGAGTTTTGTTCTCTGAGCTGGATGGTTTGGTCGTGGAGCTTTCATCGTTCTTCTGAACGACATCATCAGCACAAACTTCAGATAGAAGTTTGTGCTGATGATGTCGTTCAGAAGAACGATGAAAGCTCCACGACCAAACCATCCAGCTCAGAGAACAAAACTCCACCAAAAAGTTTCACGAATGAATAGAGATTAAAATGCGTGATGCAGAAATGCCACTGATTAATTTGAAGCTAATTCGAGAGGTCAAGATCCTCAGTTTGATTCTCCTGTGTATGATTGTGTCTATGCACTATTAACATTCACTCTCTTCCCATTTCGAACTATTTTTTTCCAACTTAATTTTATTCTATTCGAAATTGCATTACTGAATTATAACATTTATTGCCATAGAATAGGGATTACTGAAATGTGATGTCTCTGATCATTTGTGTTATCGATAAGATCAACTCATTAAGTCACTTTTCATTACTGGTTCAATATTACTCTAAATTAATAGTTGTCTCTCTTCATCTCCTATTTTATGAAGCATTTATTCATGACACTTATGATCTAACGAGGGCTGAATAAAATTACTGCTTACTAATTGAATTCTATCGATTATTATTTGAAGTTGTGATTACGTTATAGGTATGTGTTTAAAAGGTTATTTCAGTAGTATTTTATGTCATACACATAAATGTACCTTATAAACAAATAATTTATGTTTATCTGACCTAGTTCTAAAGTATATTTAGATGATTCATTAGCATAAAACTCATGTACTAATTATTTATAGAATTGGAATCTGGTTATTCTATTTAATGTAAATAAAACGTAATATGAACCGATCCAAACTGATAATTTGAAATCGAAGAGAATTAATAAAGGGATGAATAGATAAAACTTGTTTTGAAATGAAAGAGATAGAGAGGAATCCATTCTTATTTAATATACACTTCACTCTATGCACTATAAGAAATGGTAATTTTTTATCAAAGTGATTACCGTATAACTCTACAATGAAAACTGTTCGATATTGACTTCATAGCTAATCATATAATAAAAGATTTGTTCTTAATTAGTTATGTCGATCAGAAATGTAGTATATTCTTTATAATAAAAAAAGCAAACCATGTTACATTGATCTATTTATCGAGTCACATTTGTATTGGTACACTGATATTGGAGTTCCTACTCCTAACGAATTCGGAAAATAAACAACTTTTACTCATGTACGCTGATTAGATTGATCGAAGGATTTATTTCTTCTGACTTTAGTCGTTATCTCTGCTTGTTGTCAAAACTTGAAATATCCTGACCAATACTAAATATCTTTTGAGTTATCATGTTTTACACGTAGTTACTACATGAAATTCTTATTTTGACACTCACAAACTTGCCAAACTCGATCATAAATGTATTTATAAAGGATTTTACGATAGATTCTTGTCAACTAGTAATATGTATTGCTATTTGTGTGTGTGTTTGTATCTGTAACAGAATGAAGACATTTAATCTTTTAACATTTATTATTTACATTTATAATTAATTATCATCATTACGATAACCATCAATGACGTAGATCAGTTTTGTTTATTTATTTCAGTTTTAATTGTAATAATTTTAAATTATCATCATCATCACCATCACTATTCATGTTTGTGTTATTAATAAGCGATGGAAAGACGCATAGCAATCAATATGAACTTATAAATATGACAAATTACTGTCAAATTGGCATGTAATTCAGATTGGGTACAGACACATAAATTTACAATTTTATCGAATAACAACACTGTAAATAGGTTAAAATCAAAATGTAAATTTTAATCTCTATTATTCACATGCTCTTAATATGCGAAAATAAAACTTAGCAACATAAATAAACAGATAGATAGATAGTGAACGTAGAGTAGGGTGATCAGTGACGTTTCATGGTGAACATGATGTAAAATTATCTTCAACATTCTAGTGATATTCTATTGTGTTATAGCTTGTTTGATTGTGTATATACTCTTAGTTTATGTATGTATTCAGATATAGTTCTCTAACAGTTCTCGATTAAAACTATCTTCAAATCACTGAAAATCTCCATATAACGAGGTTTTTATTATTCCCATGTCATTCTGTCATATTCTTAGATTGATACCAACTAGTGTTTAAAAAAAGTATAAGTTTTATAATAAATTTAACTATCTTCACATTATATATATATATATATATATATATATATATATATATATATATATATATATATATATATATATATATATATATATATATATATAGAAATTATGCTTTCTTCCTTGATTTAGTTATAATCTATGTCATAATTATAATGATTGGTTGATTGATTGACTACTTTAACTAACGAGATAGGAAAATGTCAAATATATAACATGAACAAATTCAATAATCATTGTCATCGTTGTCATTCTTCTTATCCTGTTTTCAAACAAACTTGATTTATTTCCTTCCGAAAAAATAAAATAAAGGATCAGTGGTCATAAATGTGATCAAACTTGAACTTTGAATAGAAATTCATTGATTCACTGTCATCCTTCATCATTAAATTATCTTATTGTGTTTCAAATTGACTAATTTGTCATCTTTTTAATAAATGAAATTGTAATTATCATTCATGATTCAATTGCTTTCAAGTTCAGTAATTAATTAATTTCTTTTTTTATTTTATTTTATTAAACAATTCTTTTCTTCCAAGATGAACTATTAGAACAAACACAACAAATTATTTGTGAAAAATATAATATATCTAAAGAAGAATTAGCCAATGCAATGAATGAGGTAAACTATGTCATTGAAACTATTAAAGTTTTTTTTGATGACTCTCATTACATAAATGTTTATATGCTGTTACATGTTTCTATGTTTCTACGTACATATGATTGTGTTTTTTTTTAAACAAAAAGTTTGAACATGGTTGATTACAGTTAAATAAATGGTTGATACTGAGAATAGGATTGTTTTCTTCAAATGTTTACAAAACCCATTAAGAGAATCTTATCTTGTACACTAACTACTCTTGGTAGTTGACTGATATGAGAGTTTTTCAATCATTAATTCCAATTATTAAGACCAAGTTTTTGAAATTTCTGTCTAAGTGGTACTGTGATATGTGCTACTGACGTCAATGGATATAAGTAGTATGTATCACTAATCGAAAGTGGAATTTCTGGAGGCAGAGGGTTAAGAAGATCGAAGAGGAGAGAACGAGAACGGAACGTAATTGGTCTGGACAGTCAAGTCTGAGACAATTAATGGACATTTTTCAAATGAATTACTTACTATATAGTTCACAGATTTTACTGAGACTTTCGGTAATTTTATGTTCAAACATTTAGTTGCCCACATATGTGTTCTCGTTCACTACAGTACCATCTCAATGAATATTTTACTCGTTTTCTGTGCGTGTCTCAGAAAATAATACATAGAAGTTGGTTAGTCATTGATCTCTGACTACAATATTTGCATTTTCTTACTAGCCAATCCTATTCTCATACCATGGTTGTGGTCATTGAATTAATCTTATTCAAGTGAATACTGAAAAGAAAAAAAACATGTTCATATATTCTGACTTTCTCTTCATTTTAACAAATAGTATATATTGAAAAAAATGTGAATGTTTGTTTTTCAGATTTAAACAAACAATATTAAAGCCTAAATTTGTATTGTCAGTCTTTTTAGTTTATCTGTAAATCAAACGCAGTTTTCTTATTTCTTATAATTATGAATAGCATATGCTAAAAATAACCGTACTTAAACATCATTGTGCATCCATACACAGACACTGAATGGGACTGGATGTTTTACAAATCTCTTATGTTCAAAAATCTGAAATATACATAGGTTTCTAACAGGAGACCGATAACAAGACTTAGTAATTCAAGTATTGTGTATAAATATTTTACAAAGAGTACGTATTTACTTTTACGATCGAATCTCTTGATTGATATAAACTCAGTGTGTAACAGGAAATTTTATATAACCAATTAAACTTTTGCCCAAAAACTCAATACAATAATCAAACATTCAGTAACCTCTCAACTATTGCTTTTATAAAATATATCTTATCATAGTCATTTTTTACGTACTAGTTTGTGACATGCAACGACTAAGTTATCATATTGATATTTTAGGCTGTTGATTGATTAGGTTGAAAGTTCTGTACTTTTGATTTTAATCCGTACTCCTAAGTGATCTGAGTAATCTTATCGCTTAGCTCATTCTGTCGTTAGACCGATCAGCACAAAACATTTAACCATATTTTCACTGTAATTTTAGTCTGGTCAAAAATATATGCAGTTAGCTGTATGTGTGCCGTGACCACTGTCTTGACATCGTAGTAGAGCTTGTGTATCGTGATTCCTCCAGTCGACTTGCGTTACTTGGAGTGTAGCTAAGATGTCATCCTACTAAAAAGCGGGTCAGTATACTGTGCAAAAGACCACATTGTTTTACTTAGTATTCATGAAACGTTGTCTTTGAAAGCACAGGACATTCGAAGGTTACTAATATTTATTCATAAGTGGCTTCCAAGTGGAAGAGCCCCCGATTGTTCAATGCCGATACTATATGCAGATTACCAAACCAATATGTAGAATTACTTGGTGGCCCTATGAATCTTAATCGACTGATAGGTATATCTCAAGTCACCGCCTTCTTCAACGCGCAATTTTATCTGGAGTACGATTAAATTGGAAAAAATTTAAAAGCAGTTACACTAAAAAGTTGATATCTGCTCGAATACTACTAGTCAAATCACAGTTTATGGTAAACTGTTGTCGGAATTGATAACTTCAAGTGGTGCTCGTCAGGATTGTTTGCTCTCCCTATTTTCAGTTAACTTTCCCACAAACGTCCTTTTAAAGACAACAATTGACAATTGATCAGAATTTGATATTCTCTCAGAAGATTCTCTTGTTGACTTAGAATATTCAGGTAGTATAATTTTGTTTGATGGAGTTGCAAAAAAAGAAATCTGATGGCCTTAATCAAGAATAGAATTCAGGATGCATTTCTCTCCATATAAACACAAAATGTTGCTGTAGGGCTGTCCTGCGTCGCCGTTTGAATTAGGGATAGGAAGTTAAGTAGCTGAGTTTGCCGGCCACTTCATTTATCTTGTGAGTCTCAACAGCCGTGGAAGTCTAGATGAAATCTCAACAAGAATTCATAAATGCCGTCAAAGCATTGGTACCATCAGGTTAGTTATTTCGAGGTCAGACACAGAGTACCACGTAATGATTACAAATTCATTGACGAGGTAGGGAATCTTTATTGACTGAGATGGCTAAAACCTGTATTACTTGGGCCCATACCACCAACTACCTCGACCTGTAATGACGGTTATTGTAGGAATAGGTTGGAAGAAAGCTATGAGCAGCTAAACCAACACACAAAGACACTGTTTCTTGGACTCAGATACTTGTAGGTAGGTACCAGCTACGTATTTGTGGATCGCATGATTATCGTAATGACATGACTCAGAATCTTTGCAATATTGCGGTTGCATTCACTCCCTGTCTTCTCATAAATTTTTGAAGTCTATTTTACTAATTTACATTTAGTCGACTCGTATCTTGGATGCATAATCTTTTCGATTATCAATAATACTGTACTTGCCCCTACTACTCTGGGATTTGTCCTGACAATTTCATCTTGCTGTGCTAACGAGGTCTAACAACTTGAACCAATGTACACATGTCGTAGGTTCTTCAGATTTGACTGACAGTCGTTGAAGTCATAGATCATTCATCTGAGTCATGTTACTCGATTTAGAATACCTTTATGAAGTCTACGGGACTTTCAATATCTTGATACATTGTTTGACATGGCTCAGAATCGCTGAAGGGTGGCCCAGATGCATCCTAAGTCTCAGAATTATGCAATACTTTCTATTAAATGAATTCGCATTTCTGGGTCTTCTCTTTTTACTATCACTGATACTACTATTAATTTTACTATGATATTTATCTTCATAATTCCCTTATGGTTTGATTATATAGTGTGAAAACTCAGAATGATGCATAATTGTGACAGATTTTCGCTTTGTTTATGACTGACTGACTTGTGTTTTTGCTCAGTAATCATTTTCCATGATCACTGACCAGATACTTTGATCTTCGTGTGGCTCAGTGAGATATAAACTACTAATGAGAGCAAGTGTATTTCCTGTTCATTCACGTTGGTGATGATTAATTCTATCATTCTATAAAATTGTATTCGTGAATTGTCACTGCAACATCTTTTCAAAAATTATTGTACACCACTGTAACCAATTTGGTAAGATTATTACGCTAAGGAATTCATGAAAAGAAAGTGATCATAATATATAATGGTAACTCTGTTCAATATTGTGTAAGTGGTCAAAGGACGCCCGTCACTTTGAATTACATCTACCTAATTATTTTCGTGAGCTGATGATCCACTCTAACTTTTACCTTACTGCTAATAAAATATCCTATTCACCTATATTTGTTTTTTGAATTAGTGCAAGAACTTGAGCAAGCTCATTTCTATGCGATTTTTTATTGTATTTTCTCTCCATTCTTAAGAATGAGTCTGATATCACCTGACAGTTCAGTTATAATCATTATACAATAAAACATACTTCTCAAAGTTGTACTAAACATTGTTTATTTTCTTTGCATTCATCCCGTCTGACTTTTGGTTTATAGGGCGATGACGTGGATGATATCTTGAATCCTGGAAAAATCCTATTGTTCCAGATAAAATATTTCGCAAAATGTTACAATTTAATAACTCGAACTCTTACTCCACAACCTTCAACATATTTTCTAAATCAAATACAAAATCATCTTGAATCTATAAACGATGAGGGTCATCAACAGCTCGATATGTTAATGCGGCAGAAGAAAAGACAGAGCTCATTGTCATGGACAGAAGGTTATCTAGAGTCACTTAGCCGGAACCCCGTACTAAATATTGGAAGCAATAAAGTAATTGGCAGTACTGAATCAGAAAGATCTCGGTTTAATGTTGTCGATGCTCAACCAGATGACTCTATCTCCAAAGCTACACATTCTTCACCAAACCTAGTAGGTTCAGATAGTGAACGTAGTCGTATCGAGATTCAAGACAAGCGAAAATCGAAATGCAGATCAAGGAAGTCTGAAGCAGGTCCTGTTTCAAATTTAGATTTCACTTTCTTTGATAACTTATTGAATAAAGAATTGATTACAATGGCTCCAGTATTTACAAAATCTGTCATGTGTTTGTGCAAGGTATGTTGTTTATTAACTTCGTGTTCAACATGTAAGACACGTTTAGAAAGATGTAGCACCAGTTTCTGCTCTGTATAACTATGAGTTAAGTTTAAGTTGTGTATGTTAAAATTAAGACCATTTTACGTTAGTCGCTTACAAAGATTGAATGCAGTACATCGAAAATTCCGTATATTTTACTTTATAATTTTAAATTACTTATTAGTAGTTAGTATGACTAATAAAAATCAAAGGTCCCAAAGTTAGAATAATAGTTGAGTTTCTAGTTCGTACCATATAGTTTAATTTGAAGAAATCTTTTGTAATGACTGAATCATTTTTGTAGGTGAAACTTACATTCTCAAGGAATAATGAGGCTCATTTTTGTTTTCTTTTTATATTTTAATACTACTATCCTTCATCATGACTGCTCTTAGTCTTCCGCTAAGGTAGTGTAAACGTAAATACATAATGAATTATTAGACATGTTGAAGTCGCTTAAAAAAATAACGAGCGTATTTTTTCACCAAAACACAGTGCATGGGTTGTTCATTACTTTATTTTCATCTTTCGAAATTCTTTTCGTTTTCTACTTGGAGAACATCTTTTTTCAAAATGATTGTTGAATGATTTCGGGATATCATTAGCTAGCTAATTTTTTATTTATTCGAATACATACTTCTGATTTATCACTTTTCTTCTCATGATGTCTTATTTCATATTAAGGAATATTTGCGTGTTAACTTCGTTTTAAAGTTACATTTTTTTATCCTAATCAAGTTCATTTCTAGTTTACCTAAATTTTTATTTTATTCTCTAGTTAATTCATCAAGACCCATCGCCGAATAATTTACTAAAAGAATCTACTAGTTCAAGAAAAAGTTTATCAAGGCCATCTGTTCAAATCGACTCGCAAGTTCATTGGACTAAAGTTGGCGATGTTGAATGTCCGGTCAGTGGAAGTACTGATGAAGTTGAAGATGAAGAAGTTAGAACATTGGCGAATTCTATCATTGATTTGTCTTGTTCACAAGCAACTGACACATTAAACCTGGACACACTTTCCACTGAACAATCGGATGCATTGCATAGTGGATTTGATTTATCTGCAAACAATTCAGATCAAGGTACTTGTATTTATTTTTCTATAAATGAAGTTTTTAAGGAGGGTTCTCGTCATCAACATCTGTTAGTAACTAGAAAGTACTGAACAGATTTTTCATCCTTGTTTATGACTCTTAAACATCTAAACTCTCTACTCTGCACGGGACTAAACTCAGTACCGTTCGCTGACGAATCCCAAATAAGACGGAATGCACGTCCTGGATTTCTCTGATAGTCATCATCCATTTCTGCTTATAGTGCTCATGACTAGGCAATATCGAGTCAATCCTCATAGGATGCACATATGTCAATACGAAACTGATCAATTGTATTCCTAGACAAAAATAGGAAGATTCAAGCAACCAATACAAAGCTGAATTAAACTTCACGCTATTGCACAAGCCAGTAGTCGTTTTCACCCAGTAGCTAAGTGGATAACGCAATGACGTTTGAGGCGAACGGTAATGGGTTCGGGTCCCGGAGTGAACATTAACTGTGGGATGCAGGTACATCCTGCTGACGAGTTACAAATAGGACGACACGCGCGTTTTGGATCCCACTGCTAGCCACCATCGTCTCTGTTTGTAAAATGTGAACTTTATTTCTGTATACTTATTTTTTCAGATTTGAATTCAGTCGCTGCACAACTAGTGTCTGATGTATTGGAAAATGCCAAGAACTATTTCTCAAATCATATCACAAAATCTAATGATCCAGAACAGAAAACAATGAATGTTATTCGTGACAGCGGATGTGCACCATCTGCTACAGATGAAGATGAAGATTATTATTATGAAGAAGAAATTGATGATATTGATGATGATCACGCGAACAACGATGAAACGGTGGAAGAAATATCAGAAAATCATAACGATATTTTAACATCATCTGGAACTATTTCCACTTCAGACACTTCAACTCCTAAATTCGTGGGCGTTGCTTCGATATTTGATGATGCTTCATTGGATCAAAGCAATCAGTTAGATAAAACACCGCCTTTACACGATGATTTAATCATTGATAACGATGTTATTGATGTTGTAGCACCATGTCCTGCTATTTTTATGTCTGGAACTACCACTTCTATTGATCCTTCTACTATTATTACAACAGCAGCAAATATTATTACTAACACTAATACGACGATAACAACAAATATTGGTCGTAATGACTCTCAGAAGTCAACCACTTCAAGTGGATATGTCGACTCTAGTGATGATTAAGATTAGTAGGCAATATTCTTCGAATACCCTCTCAAACACTAATTCAAAAAAAAGAAATTAATGTCCAGTTTATCAGTAATGAGTTGATCAACCTCGTCATAAAAAATCATTATTTTTATTGTATGATAATGATAATCAGAATAGGAAGATGGGTATGTCTTCGATCTAGATTATATTTGTGTGTGTGCTGTATAACGTTGTTTTGAATAACATGCATTTCATTTGCGACGCTGTTTATTTTCAAGACTTATCATGTCTTTAGCCCATCCTTTTTGCATATATATATATATATATATATATATATATATATATATATATATATATATATATATATATATATATCACTTACAATTGTTTGAAATAGACATTGCTTTATGGCGTTTTTATCACCATGTTATACACGTACATACACAAACTCTTTTGCATCAGGTATGCTCGTGTGTCTTTTTTTTGTTTGTATATGTATGCGTGTATGTATTTTATCATATTTAATTTAGTTTATTACTCCTTTTCAAAGAACATCCTACTTCTTTTTATTTTATTTCAATTATTTCTCTACATTAAATATTAAACATTATGTGCCTTCCATTTGAAATCATTCAATTTCTTCCAAATAATTGTATTTAAAAAGATAGACATGATTGTATAATACTCGAAAAGTGCGTTTCTTTTTTTTTTGTTTTGTTTTGTATGTGTACGTGATAATTAGCAACCTGTTTTTTTGTTGTTTTGAAAAAAGAAAATGCATGAATACACCTAAAAATAAACAGCCATTGTTTACTATCAATACATATTTTCTTTTTGTTTAAATATAATATGTACCAATGTGTACACACGTGGATCGTGTGCTTTTTATACATTTGTGTGTATATATACACTAATCCTGTTTTCAATAACGACACTATACTATTACTATTATTACTACGACCATTACTATACTCATTAATACAGAATATCTTTATTTTATTTTAAATTTATTCTCATTACAAGTATTTAACTCACTTATCATCAGACATTGTTAGTTACAATTTTATTTCCTATTAATTGATAAATTACACTTTGATCTATTCAATTACATAAATTTTATTGAACAAATAAATAATCAATAGTAAATGAGAAACATAATGAATACATTGTGTTACCTTTTATTATTTCCATGTTATTCCCAATATCAAAGAAGTTAAATCTTGTAATTTTTGTTCATTTGATTTTTTTGAAAACAAAATCAAAGTAATTTTTTCTATCTTACAAGTCATATCTTCTTTGTTGTTGTTGTTGCTGCTGCTACTGCTGCTGCTGCCTTGTATATTATATCATGGAACTTATTCTTTTGTTCTCTTCTTTTTTTTTAACAGAACTAATACAACAGTGTTAAACTTTTAAAGATTATAAGAAATATATTTAAGTTAAATGATTTTTCTCTTTATGTTTGATATAATCGATATTTACATTTCATTCTGTTAATTTAACCATTTATTAACACGATCAATTGAAATATAGAAAATATGAGTTAACAGTGGATCTACTATTCGTTTATCAAGGCAATATTAATAAATATTTAAAAGAATTATCTTTTAATTTGATTGATTTATATAGATGTGTTTGTTTTCTAACAAGGTGCTTATGTAACTGACTAAGAACATTTATCAATATTCAAGGTTACTGTTAATTCTATCGAAGCGTCGAAGTAACCACGATTGAGATACGCGCAAAATCGAAGTTCCAAAACAACGATTTGTTTACAAAAGCGGTTCTTTATTAAATAATACACAAAATTTAGTTACAAACCTCAACTTGTGAGGTGTCTAGGCGTTTAAACGCGTCGTTCAAGAATGAAAATAGCAAAGGCTTCGATAGTCCAAAGACAGCCGATAGCTGTGTCTAAATTTGGTAACAGTTTATGAACAACCGAAACTCGAACCAAGAGCAAACAATATGGAAACTGTTGCATTCAAACAAATGCACAAAACTGTGGATAATCGTCACAGTAATTAAATTACAGTGATTATAATGATAAATACAATTATAAGTAAAATAAGCGTTAAAGATATAGGTGAACATTCCAGAATGTCACAGTACAACTTGAGTTACAACATAAGTTTGAAAATTGTTGGGCATACAGCTGCCTACTGAATGTAAATAAGTAGTATAAAACAACATACAAAGAGTAGAAAAAGAACATGTAGGAACAATCTAAGACAAACTTAGCAGTTACATAAATATTAAAGCATAAAATATGGGAAGTAGGAAAGATTAACTATAAAAGTATTTTAAGAAAGATATGGCATATAGAAATGAAAAGTTGAAAATTATTAGATTTTCTTAGTAAATTTTAATTGTCTGTTGAGGGACCAATGATATTAAAACATTTCTTGTAATTGATAGGCCTGGGTTACTAACTCAAACATCACATGGAAGGCACTTTCGCACCCTATTGAGAGAATACGATAGATAATGTTGAAAGTTTGTCACCTTTAGAGGTCACAATTTCGAATTTGATGGCTAGGGAGTTCATATGTCTTTTTCATTGTTCAGTGCTTTCAATGTTTTGCGGTATTCGAACTGGATTGCTTTGTTTGCTAACTTGATTAGTCCACTTCGTTTCTAGTCTTCTATATCTTCTTTCGATTTGAACGGGACGCAATTAGTCATTAAAGTTTCTTTTATCTTAGTAAGATGTGTGGACGTCACTTATATCAAAAACTAATTATCTTCATCTGGATCGACTTTATGATTTTCCATCTTTCCCGATTGCGTGCATATTCATGTGTAATTTTTTGGTTAGTACTGTGAGACGGGGGAAAAATGTTTAGAGATTTATTCACGGGGCAATACAAAAAGACTTTACGTGTGTTTGTACTTCCCAAGCGACATAGCTATGCGTTCCAACTTTTCACGATGAATATCGGCATTTTTATCTTAGTTAGTATAAAGAATCTTATAAACGTCATGTCTAATTACGCGCTAGAGATACTCAAATACTCTTCACATTTCCTGGTTCCCACTTCAAATTTACTTGACTTCGGCATAGTGTCTCACCAATACCTACAGCGCCTAGTATTAAACAGAGGAAACCCCGAACTTTTCCCGTAAATATCGTATTAGTAAACGGCAGACTTCCTGCCCATATACATTGTGAAATAGGCAAAGTTATTGCTTACAATAAATAATTGTTACGATCTTATGGCCCGTCAAATAACACGTGACGAAACCTCCAGTTAGGTCACCGACCCACACATCCTTGGCCCTGTGCCAAACCAATGACGCGTTAACCAGTACGAGCAGCCTAAAGTCAGTCTCCGAGTCCCTATCGGTTCTCCTTGCCTAGCCCTGCCCATTTGAGTCCGGAACACAATCTCAGCTCCTACAGTAGGAATCGTGTATTTCAAACATACGCAGTTTATATACTAGCAAATCAGATCACATTATGCCATAAAATAGGAAGTAACAAATGTACAAGATTAAGTCAGAAATGGTTGTCAGTGTGAGATAGTGTGACTAACAGATTGGGGATAACTTGAGAATAATAAGTCGTTTAATAGTACCCAATAGGTCAAACGAAAGCTTAGATAAGAGAATTGTAACTACATGTAATCTAGTTACTTAATTGTTATGCAATAAGAATACATATTTAATAATGGTCCATAAATACATTTAACAATCAAAGCAACAGACAATAATCAGTAATAATAAAAGTTTCAAGGCGGTCAACCCGTATTTAAAGTATTTGGAGCTGGTCGAACCTATGCTACCATTAAAACAATTCAAACTTTCATGGCTTCATGTTCATCTTGGGTGCTAATTTCGCAATTGCTATATGAACATATTCGTACCTTTATGTCTCATAATTTCTCTACTGTTTTTCCGAATAAAAATGTGGTGCGTGCTACTTATATTGACATAAGTAGTATATAACGCTAGTCAGAAATGTAATGCCTGGCAACAGAATATTGGGAAGATCAAGAAAGGAAGAACAGGAATAGAAAGCAATTTGTATAGAAATGCAAGAACAATGAAGTCCCAGACAATTACTGTACATTTTACAAACTAGGTATTATAGTATGGTTTTTTCTATTTTACCAAGTAACTCTGTAATTGTGTGCTACATATAATTCGGTTGTCCTCATCTTTGTTCTCCTTCACTACAATAGTGGTGTAGAACTCTTTCAGTAAGTTTGTATTCGCGTGTTCTTCAGAATCCGTCAGTATATGCATTTCAGTAGAGAGCAACCGTCAGTTTGGCGCAGATGCTAAGTTACTTTTATTTCTGCGTATCTCATTCATGTTCGGTTCAAAGTGAGCAAGTAATTTTTCACTCCTACTTACAATTCCGTTTTTCTCATTGCATCACTTTAACTGAATAGCCTTTCTTAGAGATAAATAAATCCCCAAGATAAATAGTTCTGTAAATCTTCGACATTGATGCTAACCTCACTAGTTTTAATGAGTACATCCTAGATGAAGGAGCTTGGTCACACATCCACACCAAACCACGAGTAGGTACGCTAATCATCTGCTAATCATCTTAGACCAAAAGCTTGTCAACATATCGACAGCTTTCTAAATACGTCTTTGAACCTCTACATTCCGAGTTCTGATTTGACTGAGTTAGTACAACTTGCTTTTAAAGGTGTTACATAAAAGGCGTCGTGAAGCTCTGAATACCTATGACATCTTTGGCTTTTTACTGATTGCATTAGTTTATTTTACTCTGTCATAAACTTTAGTTGTTGACATATCGGTTTACCAGGATAGCCACAAGGCACATAGTGTGCGCTTGCTGTTAGTAAGAATCGACCATCCATCGATGATTTTGTCTTCCAGATTAGATGTTATTTATCTTCACAAACTATCTTATACAATATTTTATAACGTGACCACTGCCTGCCTTATTGCTGAGTTCCGTGATCAAAAAGGAGATATGAGTGCCAAAAATTTGTGATTTAGCTTGGATTCTCGTTTAGTTTTCTCCATGTATTTGACCTGAATTACTTTGGACTCACACCGAGTCAGTTCGTAATGCAGTAGGAATTCAAGAATGAACTCATTAGTCAGTTTCATTTTGGAAAGGACAGGAGGCTTGATGGCCTGTGTTAGTCCCGGCAATGGCGGTCTCTCAGTTGATCCAACTTTCTTTTGAAAGAGTCGACGAATGGAGCCTCAATCACGTGCTGAGATAATGAATTCCACTCGTTGATGATTTGATGGGAAAGTCGGTAGTCAGGTGACAAGTAATTTGTCCTGGATTTTTGAACTCTTTTGGAGTGTCCTCGTAAATTCTCTGTTTTGGAAGACAAGAA